TGCTCTTGCCGGCAGTGGATTGGACATTGTCAGTTTCAGCGTCATGACATTACTGTTCCGCGTTACTGAAAAGACGGCAACTCCAACATCTGTTATACTCATGGGTATCAATACTGCATTTGCCACGTATTGGAGAGCAGTAATACACAACGATGTTTCAAATGATGCATTTCATTATTTGTTAATTTGTGTCCCAATCGTTGTCATCGGAGCACCAATGGGATCTGTTATCGGGAGCTATCTTCACCGCTTGGTGTTGGCTGCATTGATCTACATAATTACTACTGCAGCACTGATTGGCTCATTCGTAGTCATTCGACCTTTGACCCCAGATCTGATTGGTCTAGCTGTGGGAATCGTTGTGGCCGGAATCTTCATTTTCTTTCTGCTGACACTGGCTGGGGCCAAACTTTTGAAGCACGTGGAGGAACAAGAAGAAAATATAACGATGACAAATAGCGATAGCGTACAAAGTAATGTTATAACTAATAAAATATTCTCAGTTGCAGACAACGCTCCCTCCTCGATGCAGAACGGAGTTTCAAATAAAGCTTTTCAAGAGATATGACCACATTTACAGAAAGCTGTAATAGAATAGAAGGTTAATTGTACGAATTTACGTGTACGAAACATGTTTGATATCCTTGATTGTATTTCAAAATTGGAGTTCTCATCATTTCAAGTATTTTTGACACTTTCGTTTTCGTTTTTACTTATACCAGGCCGTTCAATGAGTTCACGGAAAATACTCTCATTTCAAAGATTTTTTGTTATTTTCTCATGGAACTCTTACATAAGATGTAAAAATAATTCCCAACTGATTCTTAAAATATCAGCATATCTAATTTGTTAGGTCAAAATAATGGTGTAGATGATTTAACTTAATATTTATAGTCACAGCTATCGAAATATTATGTGTTTATGTAAAATCACTGGTGCTTAATTCCTTGGTCACATTTGCTCCGATCCATCGGCCGGCGTCCGGCCGATTGAGTGTTTTGTTCCAATTTGTATTCAATTTTGAACAAAATACTCAATCGGTCGGGCGCCGTAGTGAAAATCGTAGCAAATGTGTCCAAGGCATTATATGTTAACTGTGCTCTGAAGCCACCAGGAAAACTTGTTTGAAGGGCCATCTGGACTACAGTCGAAAAATGTTGCATTTTTCCACAAAGTGCCCCTCTTAATTGATCCTTCATCCTATTGAAAACAGCAAATACAAGGATTGTCTCATCTGAAGAGTATGGAACTGAGGGCAGTTTTGTCATCTATTTTGCAAGTTATCTGATGGTTTCCTGCACAATATTAGCAGTGTAACTGTGTGGTGTACAGTATCATGGAGGAAAAAATTAGAAAAGTTGTCATTTTAAAAATATTTTTTTCCTAGCAATATGATACCATCCAATTGAAAAACCTTTGTTTTCTTGTGGAGTCAGGGGCTAAAATCGACACCAGGGGTGTCATGCGCGAAAAAAGAAGAGTAATACACCATCGATGGTTAATTAAAAAGATACAAGAATCATTGGTTGATTTTTACACTAAACTTGTATAAATGTATCAGCTCTTTTGAAGGTTCCAAAGTTCAAATTTCCATCATATTTCTACAATTTGGAAATCCGCAGTGAATAATTTTGTTTTGGTCGCTCAAGACACCCCTGGTGTCACCAATGGCCTTTAACTCTACAAGAAAACAACAGTTGTTCAATCCAATGATGTTATATTGCTGGAAATTGCTCTTCAAACTGGTATATAATACATGGCATGATGTAACATATATCATATGATATCCATCATATTGTAACCTTTTTAGGAACTCAGAAAATTTACAAATTCATTTCACTCGATCTTTTACGTGTCATTCTTTCTTACCTTCAACTGTTCAATTCATTAGTTCAATCATGTATTTGCATCATATTTCAGCATTCTTATATCATTTTATATTAATGTAATCTCTTACTATCTTCTCATATTTAAGTGTAAATATAAAATGTTCACGTTTTGTTTTTACCGGAAGTTTAGACTTTCTTAACTTCCGGGACGCATGCGCGGTGCGTCAATTGCCATTTGTGGCGTTTTGGACTGTCTTGGACATGCGCAATGCACATAAGAGAGAGAAAAGTTGGAAAACTTTGAGCTCCGTAGAATTTGAGCTAGAATGTAACGACTGAACACGAATTATGTACTAGGGGGGGGGGGGGGGAAGCGTATATAAAAGTGTAAATAGATGTATATAGAAAGTTAAATTCAGTTTTGTTGGTGTTTTCTATGAGAAATAACGATTGAAAGGGAAAGATAGAAATCACCCGGGGATCTTCGATGAGACCAACACCTGGGGTTGATGCTTGAGCCAAACGACCAGATGCCGATGTCTTCACATAATATATTCTGTACAAGAATATTTAAAGACCCTGTGTGATATTTGTCAATTAAAGGTCCTGTATAAATTCGTATCCTGTCCAAGGATATTTGTCAATTAAAGGTCCTGTATAAATTCGTATCCTGTCCAAGGATATTTGTCAAATCACTTAAAGGCCCTGTACTAATTTATATCCTGTACAAGGATATTTGACAATTCAGTATTTAAAGGTCCCATGTAACACCTACGTATTTAAAGGCCTTGTCAAATTATTCAACAAGTGTATCAAAGATGCTTTGTAAAATTCAGCATCCTATATTAGTGCATCACTCAGCAGAGTAATGTTTTAGAAACTTGAAGCCACTGTTTCATAACATCGCATCTCCAGGGCCCAGTATATGCGAGGTATATTTCCAAGTCTTTGATAAACCAGGATTTCTATGATGATGCTAAATGATGAGATGACTAGCCGAGGGCACGGGTCTAACCAGGAATCCACTTTGATGTCAGTCTGTGACGAGGCGCCTGTCATGGATGTCATGCATTTTATGATGCCTGCATATGCTCGAGACCTATAACCTATGTGTATATCTCACATTACCACTTCAATGATTCCTCAGTGAGACAGAAGAGATACATTTGATGGACGTACAGCTCAATAAATAGTTGAAGATATACTTTATTTTCATCCCAAAATTAAAATGTTACAACATACATATAAAGCTTCATGCCTCTTTATGAGGCTTAATTACATTTTACATATTTACAAATGTAAATATCAATACAAACAAATCTACATGCTACCTTTATTACAATTAACTGCTTTACTTGCTATATGTGATTTTATATTCACATTGTTCTGAGCTGTACACACACTTAGGCAAAGTTTGCACTTTTATTCATAGAATTATTACACATTTAGTGTATTTATATCAGTAATAATTTATTTAACATATCACCCACGATACATCACATCACATTAGCCCACCCTATATATTATATTTAAGATGGCACATGCACATTTCTGAGAATTAAAATGTAATCAGAGGGTTTGTCTCATGCAAAATATGGTATATTTTTTGATGAGAAAATATAGATATTTGCAGTTACAAAATTACCTCAACGTTATCAGTTATAAGAGGTTGCATGGTATTGCAAGTGTTTTACTCTCAGAGTAGAATCTAACTTTAAGAAATATATGGAGTCCTCAAGGATATATATTGGCACAGGCTATCAATCCCCCTTTTCTTGAATTCATGTTGGATTTTATTTATGGGTTTAAAATAGGAGGAAATCTTTGGTTTTCCTTGTATTGAAGTCCTTCAGATGTTTTCCTTTGTGATTAGAAACAAATGGAAGAAAACACAAGTTATATTCCAATGAATAAAAGACAATAGTCATTTTTGCCAATATTGTCCTTTGTGCTTTTCCAGGAAAATATTTTCTTCAATTTTCTCTCTTGAGAAGTCTGTTTTATAATGATAAAAATTATTTCACATTTTATTGAAAAAAAACATTCTGATATATCTACAGGGTGGTCCAAAATTTGGAACATTTGTTCATTGAATGCAAAATCTTTATTGATCCTCTAAAATGCACCAAAACTTTACTGAGTATAGTTCAGTCATTTATCTATCTCATGTAAAGTTTATAGGTACAAACAAAAAAATTAATGCATTAAACTAGACAATGTTTGATATGACCCCTCTAATCCTGAATTACAAGATCCAGCCCAGGACTCAGTTTTGAAATTATTCATTCAGTTTGCTGTTTGTTTGTTTTTGTCAAAGCCATCTTAATAAAAAAATTCAGCTTGACCAAACTCCCTATATCTTTGCTTTGGAAGATCACATCTGGTAGCGTATTCAACATTTTTTATCCAAATTAATGGGCATCAAGTATATTTTGATGGCTATTGTTGGGTGTATTCGTGTATTACTGATAGAATATCCTTCCAGGGTAGCTTTGACTGGTGAATAAAGCCTCCTCCCCTTTATTGTTTTAATATGAATAATATTCATAGAATATATCAATATATACGAATATCAATATCATAAAGGAGTCTCCCAGACCACAAATGATATATTATATGTGCTTAGAGTTGGTCTTTAATAACGCCTTGTAAATAACTGGTCAGTTTTGCCTTAACCGAAAAGTGGAAATAATGATTTTGTCACTTTAGCAGCTGTATGGGTTAAGCAATCACTCACCTCTGACATGTTCCCTTTTCCCTCTTAAATAAAAATAATTAGTTTGGGTATTCTACACAATAGTTTTCTAGTAAACCATAGATGTAAATACCTCTTGTCAACTGAATATGATTTTATAAAACGAGTATAGCAATTATAATTTTCATTAAAGCTTTGACATAAAGATTACTTGAAAAAGAAGCAGCAAAATTGACAAGTGTATATTTAAGAAAAGGGGGTCCTATAAAACATTGACTAGTTTAAGATGTTACCTTTGTGGTTTGCACCTGTAAACTTTACACCAGATAAATAAGTGACTGAACTATGTTTAGTAAAACTTTGGTGCATTTTAGAGGAAAAATAAAGGATTTGCGTTCAATTAACAAATGTTCCAATTTTTTGGAACACCCTGTAAACTGGTTTATCATATTTACTAAGACAACAATAAATAATGTAATGATATTTTGTAAAAACACCAACAATTATATCACCTTTAACTGACTATAGTCTTAACACCAAAGGTCAAAAGTTACTGAAATTATATTTTTATGAAGCACAAATGAGTTTTCTTCATTATGATATACGATATAGGAGCAAAAACAGCCCTTTGTTACCCACGTCCTTTACAGGTGTCATCGATAGCGTAAAATCGGTGACTCGTTGACAATTTATTAACCATCGTGATACTGGTACATACGTTATTCAAACGTATTTCTATATACGTATTATTATATACCATACAAAGATGACGATCTAACTAAGTGTGATACAGTATTCATTGAAGTTTTAATCGATGACCTACTTCCGAACAGGGAACAGGACAATACGATTCAATTCGTGTTAAAACAAAAATGAATGGAATAAACAGTATGAATGAAAGCAATGTGATACATGTACCTACGATTGAAAGTACCAGTCAGCTTGTCATTGAGGAAATTAATGTGACAGAGAATAAAGTGGATTGCTCTACGAGATGTGCAAAATGGTTTCGAAAGTTTTTTATGGAAGGTAAATAAATGTTATTTTAGAGGGTCTGTATCTATCATTGTGACCCTAAATACCAACGTATTTATCATGTATATTGATATGTGGTCTGCACCATCAACACTTAATGCACACGGAGCCTTTGGGAAATATTTGGTGCGGCAGAAATGAGCGTTTTGGTGCGGATGCAACGGTCACTTTTGAGTTTAAAGGGATACTTCTGAAACTAAGCCGTTTTGCGACTTCAAATAGACTCAAATATGTGAAGTTGACAACTAATATCAATAGAATTGTAAAAAAAGTAGTATAAAAATATTTCCCGCAGGCTCCGTTTGCATCGGATGATGACAGAAATGACCAGGAAGCAGTGACGTCGTATTGTCTCCGTTTGTTAAAATCTATACTCACGATGCTTATTATGATCTACCTTATTGTTTTAAAGATTTGTTTTTAAATGGTGCAAACATGGCTCTAAGATATGCCAAGAGTGCACAAGAGATGGTCTAGGGTATAGCTTGCGGTGCATTGGCATAACCATCATAACCATACCCAAAAGTCACCCCTCCCCATAGAATTTTTTTTTGTATAATACTTGGACCAAATCAAAATATTGATTATTAAATAAGGCGGCCTTTTGAACTAAGCAGTCATTTTGGAATAAACTTTTGACCCGATTTCTACCAAAACACATCAGCGTATAAAAGTTGACACAAATCCGTCAATCCAGCATTCTGTCATCTCCCCTTATTGTGGGCCCAAAATGGGCTTTTAGGTCAAATCATCAAAAATGGGCCTTGAGTTTTCAAAATATGGGCTCAATTTGTGGTTCTAGGAGCCCAAAACGTTTTCCTCGCTCAAATTTGGGCCCCCTTGTTAGCTTTTGGATCCGCCAGTGCATCTATTACTTCTTAATAAAGTGAGATGTAATTTGTACAGGGGGCCAATTAATTAGAATATCGGGGTAGCTTTTAACCAAACCCCCTGAACGAACATTATTTCAGCTGATATTCCTCTTGGAACGTGGTGGATCTTAAAAATCTATAAGTGGAACTCCCTTTATAGAAACTTTGAACTGAAACACTTCTTAATGCTGGAATTGATAGTTTATCCATACATTTTAAGAAAATAGGTATGTCAAAGAAGATGTGAAGCCAAGTGCTGCTCCGATAGCTCAGAAAAGTAAAATCTTTCGATTTTTTCTCTACAGGCCTTGTTGCCCCTTTAATCTAAGGATTATCGGTCAGGAGAAGCTATGTGGTGTTCATAGTTGACCTTGAAACTATTACTTCCGGTTCCACATTTGATTCATGTAAATCTTCTTTCATATATTATGATTGTTTTATCAAATCAAATTCAATTGAAATGAAACTGAATGAAATTTACTTTTAAAGGTCAAGTTTTGGACAAGGAGCATACAGACGCTATCAAGACATTACCACATGACGCATCCTGGTATAGGACAGCCCTCGTGAAATATAGGAGGTTTGTAGGACCTGCAATAAGCGCAACTGTTGTCTATTTTCTCTGGCTGGCCTATATGATCAAGTGGAACATGTGGTACTTATTTGTGGAACGATATGAGATGTCCGTCACCATGGTGTTCGGATCTCTCATTGCAGGTAGTACAGTTTATATACATGGTGTACAGTACACAACTACATAGTGCATATGTGCTAGACGTGTCTTATGTCTATATCTAATGTAACATTTAACATTGCGTAGTGTCACCGTGTTTATATGTCGTTTAAATAAAAAACAACAACAAAGGAACGAGTAGGTTATTTAAAGTGTTTATTGTACGATATATATACATAATTGCGACTCCCGTTGAATAAACTTCATCATGGCATAAGGAAATGAATTAGAATATAAAAATACAAATAATCGTTTGTTGTTCTTAATAAATCACACTTCAGTGAACGTGTTGTTTCGGTTTCAATCAATTGAACTATATATTCATGAGCCTACGATGACGTCTACATAGGCACATTAGACTACATGAATATAGAGCTGGTTACGTTCACTCCTGTAATTATGAATGAATAGTTGACGATGTTTAGGCCCCCATGTTGAGTTCACTCAGAATACATTTTGAGTAGAGCTTATCACGCTCACTCCTGTAATTTTGAATAAATAGTTCACAATGTTTTGGCCCCCTGATTGTGTTCACTCGGAATACGTTTGCAGGAAGGAAAAGTATAACAATGGTAATTAAGTTAATCATAAGTGATATCCAATTGGCAATAGACCAATCAACATACTTTTTCAAAGTTACTTTAAAGATACTGAATTTAGATGACCAAAAATGAGCTGAAATCAATGGAGAGGATGAGCTTTTTTAATGGGGAAATAACATTGGGAACATAAAAATTAAAATAAAACCAGTGCTATACATTCATTTTTTTCAAACATGGTATGGAAAGCGCAGAGTGATTTCGTATACACTACGAAAACTACCTCTCTTCTCTCTTCTACCAAAACGATTATACTGATCCCACTACATCGGGGAAACATTTAGCTGTTACAAATTGACATAAAAATCGAGTTTTTCAATAATATTGGATTATACAACAGAAATATTTTGAAAAATGTCTTTGGTCAGCCCCACATTCTAGAAAACTAAATGTATAGCTTTTTATTCATAACAATTTGATGCTCCTATTGTAGCTACTGGGAAAAGTATGAGCGTTTTGCCAGATAAGGTAACACCGCAAAACATTCACAGGGTATCAAATAAAAACTCACCTAGCTGTTTTTCGAAAATACACTACGCGTTTCCAATCCCTGTCAAACGGAAAATTAAAATTGTCTAAAATAATTAGCTACTTCGTTCATAAACAGTCTTCAGTACGTCCATCTCATTCGCAGTTCGTTCAGGTCGCACCACGTCGGTGTGCAACGTCGTATAACGCGTCCCTTAGTCTAGAAGGTCATCATGACCTGATTACAGAACGGTATGGTCGCCATTGAATTTTGAATCGATTCTAAATTCTAAATCACATTTCCCGTCCGGGAAAGTCCATGAAGTTCGTAAACAGACCGTAGAACGTTGTAGCTACGTTCATTCAGTTCGCACACAGTTTAAAACCGATTCGGCAATGTTTTGATAAACGCAGTGACAACTGTTCTGGCGTGAAAGCTATTTTTGTTAATTCGTTCATAAGCAGTTTTTAATACGTTCATCTCGTCATTTGAGAGGTTAAGCTTTGCATATATAATAGAAACTGAACCTGTACGTATCACTCGACCATATACAAATTCATGTAGCTTTCTCATATAAATAGCCGTTCAAATCCAGTGTTTGTTTAGACTACACCATAGCGTGTAATGATTCTATAGTATGTCATTGATGCGGTTTTATAGCTGGTTTTCTAATACATATTTTAAACGAGCTCGTTTCGTATGATTTTTGGCGCTAAATCATGCTTGACATACATCATCGTGTTCAGCAAGAATTCAACTGTGCATCGAAATCAAAATTGACAGCATAGTGTTCAATAGACACGAGTAAAATGGTTCCCGTTGACCCAACGTCAAATTTCAAAATCTCCCGTTCTAAACCCGAAACTATGAAGCTGAAAGAGTATCTGAAGTAGACTAAGCGCGCATAAAACTATGAGCGCTCGATACATTCCTTTGTTAATTTTTGTACTTTGCGTTCACGGTTACGTTGTGAAAAACATCGTTAGCTTAACCTCTCCTTTATTCCGTCTGCAGTACGTTGGTATTAAAAGTTTAGATCGGCTCAAATTGTCGTTCGTATCCAAGCAGTTCGATAACGTTCTTAATCAGTTTAAACCAGTTGACAATTAGTTGTACCTCGTTCTCATTACGCCCTAATATGTTACTGAATTATCCACCAAATTTCCATACGGTTGAACTCGTTCTAAAATAGTGAACATCGTGTCCCTAATCCGTGCAGAACGGATTAATATAATCCCCTATTTTCCCGATTGCGGAAATACTCAGTGCGATGTTTTCCGTATTCACTCACAGCTGCAATTTACGCCTGACTACACAACGTCGTAATACGTCCCTTGTAGGATTAAAGTACGACACTTCCGTTCGTAGTGTGTCCCCGGTGCGTCCAGGTCGTCTTAAGTACGTTGTCACTCGTTCTGATTGCAGAACGTGACCATCACCAGAAAATTTTGAGCATTCTCTAGGTTCTGGACCTACTCGTTTGAGTAGTTTCATGAAGTTTGTAAACAGATCCCAAACGGTTCTTAGTGGGTTCTTAGTACGTCAAATCCGTTCGTGCACAGTTTAAGCCCGTTTTCGAAAACGTAGTGAGATCTAGTTTGGTGTGATAGTAGGGTTAGGTGAACTATTTGGTAAATACTGAGAAACGAAATAGGTGTTTCGATGTCACAATTCCAGCCAGCTTTACAAAAAATGAATTATTTGTGAATTGCTTTTTACATTTCCAGGGATGACTAGCGTTGGAGGGGGAGTTGTGGCGTTCCCTGTCATGACGCTTGTCGTCAACGTGACCCCAAACATCGCACGAGACTTCAGTCTAATGGTTCAGTTTTGTGGAATGACATCCGCCTCTTTCGTCATCTACTTCATGGGCATTCAAGTGGATTGGAACAGCATCATTATTTGCTCGATCGGGGGTGTTTTTGGCGCTATCTTTGGTTTTGAGGTTGTCGATCAACATCTGTCTCCGCCAAGAAAAAAGTTCACGTTTACAGCATTCTGTTTTGCATTTGCATTCGCATTGTTTCTTCTGAACCGATATCGTAATAGAAAAACATTTCTAACTGTTCCGTACTTGAACACATGGAAAGGTTTTGTTTTATTCTTGACTGCACTTGTTGGAGGAATATTTACTGCTCTTGTCGGCAGTGGTTTGGACATAGTCAGTTTCAGCGTCATGACATTACTGTTCCGTGTAACTGAAAAGACGGCAACTCCAACATCAGTTATACTCATGGGTATCAATACTGCATTTGCTACGTATTGGAGATCAGTAATACAATACAATGCTTCAACTGATGCATTTCATTACTTGTTAGTTTGCATCCCAATCGTTGTCATTGGAGCACCGATGGGATCTGTTATAGGTAGCTATCTACACCGCCTGGTTTTGGCTTCATTTGTTTACATCATCACTACTGCAGCGCTGATTGGCTCATTCGTAGTCATACGACCTTTGACCCCTGATCTGATTGGTCTAGCTGTGGGAATCGTTGTGGGCGGAGGCCTCATTTTCTTTCTGCTGACACTGGCTGGAGCCAAACTTTTGAAACAAGTTGAACAAATAGAGGAAGGAAAAATCACGATGGTGGATAATGGTAGTGTACAAAGTGGTGTACGAACTCAAAAAGTGTTCACAGTTGCAGACAACGCTGACCCCTCGGTAAAGAATGAACATTTGAACAAGGGGTTTCAAGAAAAATACTACATCGACAGAACAAAATGTCGAAATGTCTAGTTGTAAATAAAATAGTGTATTTCCCTTGAAACTATTTAATCTAGATCAGGACGATACCCGATGTTGCTTTGATATGATCAATTTGTGCGAACAATTTGTACATTATACAGGGTTTGGGATTCCAAGTTATATGCCAATATGTAGGGCATGTATGTCAACAGTCAACTTAGTGAAACAAGGAAACAATTTTTTTTCGATTAGGGATGTGGTTCGCAGTTACGGATCTCTGTGCGCAAGTGGAGAAATATGTTTGGGAACAAGGAAATGGTGGTACGCGGTTAAAGATTTTGCGTTCGCGATGTGAGAATCGTGGTTCGAGTGCAAGGAACGTAGTTCGCGAGGTCAGAACTGATGTTCGCGTTGTTGGAAGTCTAGGAGGCCTGGGTATGATACGCATATGTGTGTATCTCACAATGTGGACAATTGAAATTTCATTCAACTTACAATAATGTATGGTCCTGGCTATGGGAAATTAAGTACATTAATTTTGCTCTTCAAGAGAATTAATTTGAAACAGAGATGTATCTGCATGGAATATGTGTATCCCCGTTTTCGGGAAGCGTCAATTTGACATTACTATAATCATATCATAATATAATCTGAATAATATATTATATATTTTTCGATATTTCATTAGCTTACACGTTGTGTGAAAAAAGCTACCATTCTTAATGATACGTTTGATTAAAAAACGTTGAATGTTTTTAACACGACATAAAAAGACTCATTGGAAAATATTACATAAAATTACATTTATTTAATATTTTATTCATTTCTACGATTTCAAAGTTCTGTATTGTATCCCGACATACTAGAAAAACTGTTGATGTAAAGTGTATCTACTTTGGTTGCACTGCCACATAATTTGATATATGCTCTGATATGCCCACTTATCGTGTCGAGTGCAAATGGTTTGGAATGTTCCAATGTGTTGCATCATTAAATTAACTTTAACTGTAACTAGCAAGCAGTAGCACAAAAACACGTGCTCTAAGCTGAGACTCTTAAACATAAAAGCAAATGTTCATGGTGAACACCAAGAATACATTTTTAAACAAAGTTACGATGCCCCAAATCTAATAGTGTCTTCAAGAGCTTAAAATTGGTGGCTCGTTGACACTTTAATAGCCATCTTACATTGTCTGGTACACCTTTAACCGAACGTAATTCGTATTGTAACAAGATGAGAATCAAACATCTTAAGTGTGATGCAGTATTCATTCAAGGCTAACTGCCGGCCTCGAAGTATGAAGAGAAAGTTGTAATTGACAACCTACTTTCGAACAGAGAATTGAACAATGCGATTCAATACATGTTAAAACAACGAACGGAATAAAAAGTATGAATGAAAACAAGGATATACCAATGACTGAAAGTACCAGTCAGTCAGGCATCGAGGAAATTAATGTGACAGAGGATGAAGTGGAGTGCTCTACGAAATGTGCAAAATGGTTTCGAAGGTTTTTTATGGAAGGTAAATAAGTGTTCTTTCAAATGGCCTGTGTATGACACACAGGCCCTTTCAGATAACTTTGTGTTTTTCAGATAACTGTGTGTTTTTCAGATAACTAAGTGTGTGTTTTTTAGATAATTGTGTGTTTTTCAGCTAACTATGTGTTTTTCAGATAACAATGAGTTTTTGTGATGTACGAGTACAACGATATGCAGTCTGTACCATCAATAGACTTGAATATGAATTTTATCTTCTGTTATTATCACTTAAAGGATCGCTTTGATAGAAAGTAATACTCAATTGTCTTTGAAAAATGAAAAGGGTCATGTAGAGTTGAAGATTTAATTTAGAACTTGGACGTCTGTGCCATTTCCAGTAACTTCGTATTTGGTCAGAACTGGGTTCAAACTAATGTCCTACAATAATCCGAATGGAATAACAATTGTATGGAGTGCTTCATTATGTAAAATTTGGACTAGATTTTAAGTTAAAGAATAAATTGTATTGCAATTTCTTAGCAAATTGTCAAGCTCGGGTCAGTTACCAAAATGATTCGATCGCACCGCGTATCTACATGTAAAGGTCGAATCAAGGAAATTACTATTGTGATAAGTTGACCAATATGATCATTAAGTTCAAGTGTTGGTCCGAAATTAGCCCTTATTAATGCTAATGACTATAATATCTCCTAGATGTAAAGGAGTTGGTTCAATAGTTAAGTTTCTGGTTGTCGTGAAAATCAAATCAGTGCTTTTTGTACTTTCAAAAGTCATTTCCAGGTATGCCCATAGAGCAAAATTATCAAAGTCATTTTGAATAGGCTGGTGCATATCAATTAATTCCCACTTTTCTCCGGAGTTATAAAGTGACGTGTCATCAGCAATTTTTGGTAACAAATTATCAGGAAGGTCAGGTTAACTGATTAAAAGTACTTTCTTTTGGCAAAACACTCTGAATTATATAAATCAAGTTATTTTTCCCAAAAGAAAAGATAAAAATTGTCTATGTATAATTGTTTCAATTACTTTTGAAGGGGTGCTACTTAAGAATGTTTCAGGTCCATAATTTATAGCCAGGCCACCATCTCCCATTAAAGCTAAGTCATGGTACGTTCACACCAACGGCGCTTTGATGGCGCTTTAAAGCGGCTTGTAAAGCGGCACCAAAGCGTAACAAAGCTTAATTAAAGCGTCGGGGTCGTAAAAGGTCGTAGAAAAGCTCGGGAGTAAAGCGGGATATTCGGCAAGAGCGCTAAAAAATTTAAACTGTTTAAGCGTTCGCACCAACGGCGCTTTGATGGCGCTTTAAAGCGGATTGTAAAGCGGCACCAAAGCGTAACAAAGCTTGATTAAAGCGTCGGGATCGTAATAGGTCGTAGAAAAGTTCGGAGTAAAGCGGGATATTCGGCAAGAGCGCCAAAAAATGTTAAACTGTTTACAAATTTTGGGCGCTCTGTTACGAATTGATTGAAGCGCCGAGAGCGTATCAAAGCTTAACAAACCGTAACAAAGCTCAACAAAGCTTGACTCAAAGCGTGGGAAAGCTTAACACAGCTTGGTTCAAAGCGGGGACCCCAGTCTATTCACGGTCTGTTACCACTTGACACGCTTCGTTAAGATGTCTCAAGATTTGCTACGATCTGGCATGAAGATCTGACACGAGGTCAGACGCTTTCATCAATATCTGACACTCTTTGTTACACTTTCCTGAGGGACTCTCAAGCTTTCCAACGAATTGAGACGCTTTAATCAAGGATTGAAACGCTTTGCTAGGCTTTGTTACGCTTGAAAGTTTTCACACGCTATATCACGCCGTGCGACAAACGTCATGTCTTCTTCAGATAGGTCATGCTCTGGTCCATCTGGAATTTCTGGATCTCGTTGTTCTGCCATCGTGTTCTCGAGTCAAAGATGCTATGGTTTTATGGATCTACTGCATCTTTATATAGTCATTGGATCAAAAGCGGCATGGAATCGGCGATCTCGACATTTTCCAATGCGTGACAGAGCTTAACAGAGCGTAACAATGCACAACAGAGTTTTGCAATCGTATCAGAGCCTGATTTAAAGCGTCATAATCGCATCAAAGCGTAATAATGCTTATCAAAGCTTTTCAAAGCGTGATTTCAAGCGTAACAAAGCCTGATCAAAGCGGGATCAAAGCGTGAGGAACCTTTTAGAGCTATGTTAAGCTTTCCTACGCTTTGGATCAAGTTTTTCTGAGCTTTGTTACGGTTTGTTAAGCTTTGATACGCTCTCGGCGCTTAATCGATTCGTAACAGAGCGCCCAAAATTTTTTAAGAGTTTAAAATTTTTTGGCGCTCTTGCCGAATATCCCGTTTTACTCTGAGCTTTTCTACGACCTATTACGACCCCGACGCTTTAATCAAACTTTGTTACGCTTTGGTGCCGCTTTACAAGCCGCTTTAAAGCGCCATCAAAGCGCCGTTGGTATGAAGAAAAATGACAAAAATGACGGCGCTTTGCTCGCCGATTTAAAGCGTGGCATTCGCCGTTGGTGTGAACGTACCTTCAACACCAACGGCGCTTTGATGGCGCTTTGCACGGCTCTTTAAAGCGCCGTTGGTGTGAACTTAGCTTTAGTAAAGCTACGTTCACACCAACGGCGAATGCCACGCTTTAAATCGGCGAGCTAAGCGGCACCAAAGCAAGCGTAACAAAGCTTTATTAAAGCGTCGGGGTCGTAATAGGTCGTAGAAAAGCTCGGAGTAAAGCAGGATGTTCGCCATCAAAGCGCCGTTGGTGTGAACGTAGCTTAAAGTGGGGTTATAATTCTTTCTTTTTGTGATTGAAATCGTACCCTTGCGTGTTGCTGTTGTTCTCCTCGTAAAGCTAAGTTCACACCAACGGCGCTTTGATGACGCTTTAAAGCGGCTTTGCACGTCTCTTTAAAGAGATACAATAGCTCATAGTTTGCCATCATGACATTATTACTTCCAACTACTTTCGTACCACTATTTATTATTACATATGTATAATAAAATTGAACGAATTTACTTTTTAAGGGCAAGTTTTGGACAAAGAGCATGCTGACGCTCTCAAGACATTACCACATGACGCACCCTGGTATAGGATAGCCCTCGTGAAATATAGGAGGTTTGTAGGGCCTGCAATAAGCGCAACTGTTGTGTATTTTTTCTGGCTGGCCTATATGATCAAATGGAACATGTGGCACTTATTTGTGGAACGATATGAGATGTCAATTACCATTGTGTTTGCGTCTCTCATTGCAGGTTAGTATACTTGTTGCACATTACAACAGTAAATGCAAGTTACTTGTCAAATGGGGGGGGGGGGGGGGTGGATAGCGTTCGTGAACTTGAAATAGTACAGTGTTATGACCCATGGGAATTACTATATCCTTCTCAATTTGATTTTCCATGGATCAAATTTCAACTATTTCCCCGATACCCTCAAAATCAATCGGTCAATTGCAAGTAGGTACTACGAAGGTGAGAATTAATTCTTTTAAAATAATGCTTTTAAAAACATGTAGCTCCTCTTTTATATATTTAACGTAGAGCAGGTGTGTTGTTTGTTCAGGTGACTTGCTGATAACTTGTAAATTGCTACTTTATACCAGGTATGACAAGCGTTGGTGGAGGAGTTGTGGCGTTCCCTGTCATGACGCTTGTCCTTAACGTGACCCCAAACATAGCACGAGATTTCAGTCTCATAGTTCAGTCTTGCGGAATGACAGCCGCCTCTTTCGTCATCTACTTCATGGGCATTCAAGTGGATTGGAACAGCCTCATCATTTGCTCGATTGGAGGTGTTTTTGGCGCTATCTTTGGTTTTGAGGTTGTCGACCAGCATTTGACTCCGCCAAGGAAAAAGTTCACGTTTACAGCATTTTGTTTTGCATTTGCATTCGCATTGTTTCTTCTGAACCGATATCGTAAGAGAAGAACATTTCTAACAGTTCCGTACTTGAACAAATGGAAAGGTTTTGTTTTATTCTTAACTGCACTAGTTGGGGGAATGTTTACTGCACTTGCCGGCACTGGATTGGACATAGTCTGCTTCAGCGTCATGACATTACTGTTCCGTGTAACTGAAAAGACAGCAACTCCAACATCTGTTATACTCATGAGTATCAATACTGCAGTTGCCACGTATTGGAGAGCAGTGATACACATCGATGTTTCAACTGATGCCTTTCATTATCTGTTAGTTTGCGTCCCAATCGTTGTCATCGGAGCACCAATTGGGTCTGTTGTTGGGAGTTATCTACATCGACTGGTGTTAGCTGCATTGATCTACATCATCACAACTGCAGCGCTGATTGGCTCATTTGTGGTCATACGACCTTTGACCCCAGATCTGATTGGTCTAGCAGTGGGAATCGTTGTGGGTGGGATCCTTATTTTTCTTCTGCTGACGCTGGCTGGAGCCAGCGTTTTGAAGCACGTGGAAGAACAAGAGGTGAATAGTAATACTGGACGAAGTATAGAACAAACTGATAAAACGTTAACAATTGCAGATAACTCTACAGTAGAAAATGGGTATTCGAACAAAGCGTTTGAAGTAATATGACCACTTCGACTGAATAAAATGTCGAACTGCACTTGAGTAATAGAATAGATAAGAAAGTATATCAACAGTATGCGATATAATGTGCTTTATTGTTTCAATGGCCTCTTGGAATCTTCCTGCTTACATTACTGGTTCTGATACTTTCGAACTGGTAGAGAATGATCAGTCCCCCTTTTGGTCACATGACACACTACATGTGGTCAAGTCTTTTCACTCCAAACTGTCAACCAGGGAAGAGCAATTTTAATCATTTTATTTCAAATCCATATCATATCATACAACGAATATCATATAGTAAAAATTCAACAAGGTTAATCAATTTAACATTTGTGATATATTGGAAATATATCAAATTCTAGCATACAAATCAAATACAACATTATTTTACAATCATTCATAAGTGTTCATATATACACAAAAATATAATTAAGTCTGGTATTAGATGTTTCACAAAAAACAGTGCAATGGGGCAAATTCTGGTGTAGTGTGTAATATATATCTTTTAAAGTAGCTTACAGAAGAAGTCTATCATCTTCATTATTAAGTTCTGTATTACCATGTAATGTCACATTGACTTTGCTAACAGAGTTAACAATAATAAGGTACACGTTGTTGAGAAATGTAATGATTAATTCCCTCCCTCCTCCCTTATAAATGTTTTGTAAATACACTCCATTTCTCCAGGAAATGTGAGTATGCACTTAATTAAACTAATTAGTATTCTATGTGATAATTAGGTTAAGGGTGTATTTTCAAAAAAAATAAAAAATAAAAAAGTAAGTACAAAGAAGCACCGAAGGTTTGAATATTTAGTATTAATGTTAAAAAAAGCTAATTTAGCTTATTAGACTCATATAGCTAGCTAATTAATATACGACTGTCACCGATGTCTTTTCAATCTTTTGGTGACTGGTCGACTGATGTGTCCATATATAATTAGTTAGGGCGATAGAAATTATTTTTAAATAAAGAAGGAGAGAAATCATTCTGAAACTAATAGCATCTTTATGTTTTACTAGAAAGACTGACAAGAAATGATACGTGATGGTTCATCATGATGGAGTGCAATCAACATATCGCAGATCTTTTATGAGATATGTTGTTTGAGAATCTAAGAAATAAACTTATATGTCAATTGTACATGTTGCCTACAGTTTTGTCATAAAATGAAAATGGAAATGACCATATTCTGTCAAAACGTCGAAATTAATGAGTATTTTCATATCTCCCGCCGAATATAAGTGGGTGTAACGTCGTAAACTTCCGGTGCTACGACGTATAAGAGAATGGGATGTGTATGTAAGGACTAACTTTACTAAAACACCAAAAATGAGCAATTGAATGATGTAGTTCATCTAAATTTACCCGAGAGTACTTGACTCATGACACATAATTTAAAAGTGTGCCTATCAAAAAAATCTAAGCGAGTCGAAATGCGGTAAAATCTTTTTCAAATAGATAAATGTGTTTATTTATGCTTACAGTAGATAAGTTCAATACGTAGTCTGAATGCATTTCAAAATGATAATTTGATTTCATCTTACATATGGACTCTGGAACTGAAATAAAGATATTTATAATATATTTGAATGATAACGTCGATGTCTGGTTGATAGTTTCACTGATCAGTATAGTATCAAGCGAAGGTAACGGTCGTAACCTTCACATCAAAGATGGCGGACGGTTAATGTCGATTTCGACATTTTTAGTTCTTGCCGAAGAATACTAATTTTCATATTTCACGTTATGCTTTGATATTTCAACCAAATCAGCCCTAAATGGCATGGAATCTCTGGAGTATGATAATTTGATATATCGAGCGTGAGCCCCTTAGTTCAACGATATTTTCCACCGCTTACGGGAAAGTAACCGGGGTTTTGACTTTACAGGTGATGAGATAACTGATATGCAGTGATCGCGGTAACGTTATAAGAGTTTATAATGGAGTGCTAAGTCTGGTAACCGTATCACATTGATATAACACGACCGTTACCATGACCCGTTACCTTGCTTGTTGTTGTCCTCATGGTTTGGATTGGATCCTCCTCATGCTATCAGGGGGGCAACCCATTAACTTATTATATACGTATATTATATTGGTCCAATATTTATTACGAGCTATGCATTGTGCTTTTTGTCATAATATAACGATAATAGTAATATATGAACAGTAAGTTATGCATTTGTACTTGTCGACGCCCGTTTTTCATAACAGTAAAGAAGAATCATATTTCATATCATTTTTAGGTGTATTTGGTCCATTTTCCTAGATTGTACAAAGAATCGGATATATGCTCGCATTTTCAGCGGGTACTTGTTCGCGATTTCGAGAATTATAACTGGGCCTGGATAGTTCCCGTTAGTATAATCGTTACACATTGACCCAGATAGATAGTTAACGAAGCTGTTAACTACCATTATGATTTTGATAGCATATACTTAAATAGTTCAACGATGGCAGTTGTACTAATCACAGGGTCATTGATTGTGGGAATATTTTTTCTAATTGCATTCCTATTTAGATGGCGGAAGATAGACATACCTGGACCAAAGGGCATTCCTTTCATAGGAAATGCGCTACAACTCTCCAAAGACCTACCATATATTCAGATTCAAGAATGGGCGAAGGAATTTGGAAATGTCTTCAAACTTCAACTCTTCAGAGAAGAAGTTGTTGTTTGTAACGATTATGAAACGATCATGATGATAAAGTCAGATGATTTTGCGGGACGACCAAAATCTTGGCGATTCACATTTGCAGTCACTGGTGGCGACAAAGGTATCGTCTTTCAAGACTTCAACGAATCGCTCATGCTGATGCGAAAACTTGCTGTCCAAGGACTCAAACAATATGGAGAAGCATCTGATCGTATGGTTGATATATCTATGGAATCGATTAAAGAATGCATTGCCGAGTTTTTGTCACACAATGGTGAAGCGTTTAATCCAATCGCACCCTTAGATCGCTCTATCACGAAATACATTATGAATTTGGTAAGTTTATTCAAATAAGGGCATTTAATCAATTTTAACTTTTGGCATACTTCAAACCTTCATTTTCTGGTCACATTTCGTACAGGGGGATATTCGTCGCCTGGCCTTCTCGGTTTATGTTCCCCATTAAGGTGTAAGTATTTCTCGATTGAGCCAGAAAAACTATAATTGTTCATATCATATTTATACTTAGTTAGCAGCGTTAAATATCGCCCCACTTATACTTGAGCAAAATAGAGCCTCTAAGTGCGCTCCTCGGTGATTTTTAAATTACCTCTTCTGCACTTTCCAATACGACATTGAAAAGCTGAGAGGGTCAACCTCCGTGTAATGCTCATTTGGAATTAATTTTATCACTGATAAATTAACCTATCAGGGTAAATTAACCTTAGGGTTAATCAGGGTATATTTAAAAAGATGATATCAAGGTCGAAGTGATATGATGATACACAATGTTAAGTCAAAGGTGCATATTCTCTTGTTAAGTCAATACACGTTTTCTGCAATCTAATATTCTCATGTGGAAATAAGCAATTTTTATTGTACATTCCTAAATACCCAAATTACACATTAAGTACATATTATTTTCAAATAGCAATTTTCCTTTCTACCGAGAACAAAAGTTCTAACGCATTTTGTAGCATTATAAGGTTAGGGGGACTTGTCAATTTGAAATTAATTTTCCTAAAATTTATGAATTTACGTCACTTTGGCACGTGATTGGACGTTATTTTTTATCAATTTTCCGATACTAACGTAGACATCTTTTGAGTGTATTCAAAATTAGTGAACTCGGAATACTTGGGTCAGAACAGAATACTTTGGCAAGAGTCAGAATAGTTCTGTAGCCAAAAGCATTGGGCCTCCACAAAAGTACTTATTTATTATATATGACAGATACTGGGAGATAATGTCGACTTCATAGAGGATGACTTCGTCGCTGTAGATAAACTACAATGTGGATTTGAACACATGGCACAAGGGAGTGGTCAGGAGTTGGACATCTTCCCATGGCTACGTCACTTTGGAACGAGATCTTACAGAGTTTTAATGGAAATGAACAAAACTGGTAGTGACCTCTTCGAATCATGGATTGAGAGATTTAGATCTAAGGTACGATATCCAATTCGAACATGACTGTATTCACGCCTTCTATAAACTGTGAACAAAGTCAATGCTTCAACTGGGTTATATTCGAGATCAATGCCCCAGCTCTGTACTAGTGTTTCGTTCAGTGCATTCAATAGTCAGTTCAGGCTGTTCCGTTCTTTTCGCAAAATTTGATTTTTATATGGATATCCGCTGTGATTTTTTTGTTTCTGGCCAATATAGAATTAATTTCAATGATTATCAATGTAGTAGATATGCGTGAAACCAATAAAATAGGCCGAAATGTCAATACAAAAGTCGGGGTCAGGAGGTAAGTAAAAAAATTGGAACAGCCAAACGCTCAACCGGAAGTAGAAATGAAAAAAGTGGAATAAACATCATCGAAATTGACGATTTTGCAATATTCTGGTGAGTTTCCACGTTCGAATCGTAATATAGACCTCAGGGCAGGACTACTAGTTTAGAATACACCCCTTAGGTCTAGGCACAAAAGCTTTCGAACCCCTCACTCCCAATTCGGTCCTTCGGGGTACAGAAAACGTTTGTGCCAAGACCTGGGGTTGTATTCGAAACTAGAAGCCCTGCTCTTCGGTCTATATTTCTTAAATATAAGATGAATAGTTCTGAGTTTGTTTCATTTCATGAAAATACAATATCAGGCGAATTGATGGAATATGCCTATTTTGGACGTATGACCAAAACGAGACAAAATCGTAATTGTTACCAATTAAAGGATAGCCATTTCTGAAAAGGAAATATTTTCTCACATTGTTCACCTCTACACTTAGTGATAGCCTATGTACAATTTCAAGAAAAACTGACGATGGCATTCTTATGTTTTGGCAAAAGGGATGAAAGTAGTATTTTTGGGGGAAGTGGCGGTCATTTTTGAATTTTACGAGATAATAAAGGTGGCGACCACTCTGAATATTAGTACGTCACATTTCTCTATCGTAACCAAGAGAAATCAAGATCACATGATCATGACATGACGACATGACGACGTGATGTATCTACATTTGTGTTCCAGTCCGAAGAATCAAACTCAAAGAATACCAAACGCATATCAACTTTATTGGGCGTATTGCTGACAGCTTACGATGATGGGGTTATAGATATGGACAACGTCAATGGTGCATTATTTGAAACCATCGTAGCAGGTGAAATGTTCCTTATAGTTTCAAAGCATCTCAGTCCCTTGTCCGTCCCGTCTCACGCCGCAGATTTGGTTCATATCGATATATAGTCAATCAAATAACACAGGAGTATCGTTTAAATGAGGTCAATATGTCGTTGTCATCCGATATTTTCCCTCTTCTCCACAGGAGCTGAACCAACTTAATGGTGACAGTTGAACGCCCAGGGTAAGCTACAACACGAGGGTGATGAAATTTGAGCAAACCGATGTTTTCATCATTTCAGAAAAATCTGGTCTAGTTTCTAAGAATGTATTTATGTAAAAATCTGTAACAACATCCTAGACAGCGAATTTGACAGTGATTCTCATAGTCTACACAAACTCCGAATGTAGTATACGGTATATAACGCTCGGTAACGGTAAGGTATTACACAATACTACATTCGGAGCTTTTGTATATTTAACTATGACATTTACTAATTATGTTCAATGTCAGGGATATTGTAACATACATTTACATTCAAAAATAGTTAGAATCTAGACCAGATCTTTTCTGAAACGATAAAACCATCAATTTGCTCTAATTTCATTTGAACCATTGTTATGTCACCACCAAAAGTGGTGACATATTGTTATGGTCTCCGTTTTTTTGCGACGGCGGTTGGCGTCCGGCGGTTGGAGGTTGGCGTCCGGCGGTTGGAGGTTGGCGTCCGGCGTCTGTAACAATTTCTTACAACTTCCTATAACTTAACAAATACTGTTTAGACTGACTTCAATTTTTTTCTGAATCATCTACATGTTCTCAGAAGTTCAAATCTGACTTTAGATTTGACATTTGACCTTCAATGACCTTCTCAAGGTCAAAAAGGTCTTTTTTCAACTTGCTTCACATTGACTAGATTTTTTTTCAAAATCATCTACATGTTCTCAGAAATTCAAATCTGACTTTAGATTTGACATTTGACCTTCAAATCTGACTTTAGATTTGACATTTGACCTTCAATGACCTTCTCAAGGTCAAAAAAGGTCAAAAAGGTCTGTTTTCAACTTGCTTCAAATTGACTAAATTTTTTTTTCAAAATCATCTACGTGTTCTCAGAAATTCAAATCTGACTTAAGATTTGACTTAAGATCTGACATTTGACCTTCAATGACCTTCTCAAAGTCAAAAAAGGTCTTTTTTCAACTTGCTTCAAATTGACTAAAAAATTTTTTCAAAATCATCTACGTGTTCTCAGAAATTCAAATCTGACTTTAGATTTGACATTTGACCTTCAATGACCTTCTCAAGGTCAAAAAAGGTCAAAAAGGTCTGTTTTCAACTTGCTTCAAATTGACTAAAAAAAATTTCAAAATCATCTACGTGTTCTCAGAAATTCAAATCTGACTTTAGATTTGACTTAAGATTTGACATTTGACCTTCAATGACCTTCTCAAGGTCAAAAAAGGTCTTTTTTCAACTTGCTTCAAATTGACTAATTTTTTTTTCAAAATCATCTACATGTTCTCAGAAATTCAAATCTGACTTTAGATTTGACATTTGACCTTTAATGACCTTCTCAAGGTCAAAAAGGTCTGTTTTCAAATTGCTTCAAATTGACTAAAAAAAAATTTCAAAATCATCTACGTGTTCTCAGAAATTCAAATCTGACTTTAGATTTGACTTTAGATTTGACCTTTGACCTTCAATGACCTTCTCAAGGTCAAAAAGGTCTTTTTTCAACTTGCTTCAAATTGACTAATTTTTTTTTCAAAATCATCTACATGTTCTCAGAAGTTCTTCTTAAGGTCAAAAGGTATTTTCCAACTTGCTTTAAATTGACCAAATTGTTTTAGGTGGTGACATTTTGTCATGTTAATGCCTTGTGTTGTTCCTTACCCCGCGCCGCGCGTTTAACAAACTGTCGCGCCTAGTTTGCTACAGCCCCTGTTTATCTTAGCACCCAAAATGTAATGTCTGGCATATAGTTGGTTATTAAAATCATTTTAAAATCGGTGATAATTATATTGTTTTAGGTACTGTGACTACCAAATCACACCTTGACTGTTTCATCCTGCTTATGCTTAACTACCCGGATGTCCAAGAGAGAATTATTGCGGAGATACAAGGTGCAATCCATGCAGATAAACTTCCAACTCTAGCCGACCGTGAAAAACTGCCGTTCACAGAGGCAGTAATATTGGAAAACTTTCGATTCATGTCCCCGGTTCCATTGTGTATTGCCCATAAGACCACATGTGATACAAGTCTCGGGCAATATAAATTGCCTAAAGATACAGAGGTATTCATTTGCATATAGCGTGTTTTGTGTAGCAATAAATTGTGTAATATCGTATGCTTATTCATTTCTTTTAATTTGGCTTGTCAATCAAGACATAAATGCAAACATTTGGCTGAAATGGATACTAGAAAAATATAAAGAAATTAAACAGACGCCCGTCAATGCTTTTTCATGTCTTTGATCATGCTGTATATGTGGTGCTGGAGTAAAGAGATGTCGCGTTTGATGTCTTGTTTGACCAAGTTTATCATGTTTTGAGTTTTTCCTTTCTATATATACCTTATTTCTACTTGTATACATATTAAGTGAAGTCACCCATCTTAAAAATGGGTTTCAAATAACCAATTCTTTGAGTATTCAAAATTACAGATTTGGACGAATGTATGGGGAGCCCAGCATGACCCCCGTTACTTCACCGACCCCCTTACTTTCAAGCCAGAAAGATTTCTGGATGGTGATGGCAAGGCTTACAAGCTAGCAGATATCAAATCGTGAGTTATTACCACATTTTTAGCAAGAAAAAAAACAGAAATCGTAGATTTCATTTTGAAAATTCAGATTGGTGAGTTGAACCGTGATACTTGGCAAATCAATCTAACTTTGTATAAGCGTTAAACCGATATATGACACATACTATGAAGACATTGGTAAATGATGTCTGCTTAGGGGAGAGGCATACTTTCGGGGCACCCTGTAATATCATATGGCTACCTATCATATCATTATCGACCCTCATTTTAATTGCAGATTATTCCCCTTTGGAATTGGGAAGAGATCATGCCCTGGCGACAAAATAGCATTGGACAGAATTTTTCTATTTGTCACAAATATGATGCACAAATTGAGATTCGTCCCTGTCGACAAGGATAATATCCCGTCGTGTGACCTGAAGACCTTTACGATTGCTATCACCTATCAAACGAAGCCTTTCTATGTGAAAGTAGAACCATTGAACAGAAATGGCTAATAACAACAATTAATCAAATATAAAGTGAGCCTGTAAACATAGAGCTACATAATATGTACTTGTGCTATTTAGGTTAATGTTGTGCTGTTTCACCAGATTTGACTGACATATCTTTAAATAACAACAATTTGATTTGATGATCAGACAGCAACAAAACATATTAAGTGGCCAAGACAAAATAATGTTATATGATAGGCATTCTAGGGATTAAGGAATGCATTCAGCTTACATAATTTGAGAAATTATTGGCATACGTAAAACCTATTCAAAACAGTATTTATCATATTCAAAAGCGTTGAGCATTATTGATTCCCAGCCCTCTGAAGTTTGAAAAATAAAAATACCTGGGTGTTAATCCATGGATTATCTTTGAAAACAAGAAATATATTTTTGGATTACATGGTGTAATCTTAAAGTAAACAAAATGTTTTAAAGTGAATTGATGTTTTTTGGATGAAAAACATAAGCGAAAGGACGATTCTCGGTTTGGAGAACAGTCTCCTGAGCTAATAATTTTTTCATGAAAAATATAGAAATATTACCCAAATTAAACTAGGAATATTCAAAAGAGGACATTTAAATCTACAAGATGTAAAAATAACAAATTGGTCTGAAGCAGGGATAACGCTCAATAAGACCGATTCAATAAAATACAAGTCTCGATTTGGGGAAAGAAGTTCATCAGTGTACTGCGCTAATATTTTTTGGCGAAAAATCTAGAAATATTACCCAAATTAAAGTATGACTATTCAAAAGAAAACATTCAAATCTATATTATGTAAAAAAAATCAAATTTGTCTGAAGCAGGGATAATGCTCATTTAGATTGATGAACTTCGTTCTCCAAACCGAGAATCGTCCTTCATGAAAAAAATCCCCCGATTCATTCTACAAACAACTCGCCCCCCTTTCTTAAAAATCTGAATCTGAATTCTAATGCAGTAATAGCACTATACTTTCACATTTTCTTTGACACTGTATGTATACTTATAGACAAAAAATAGTCTCAGCATTTTGCTATCATAAGGTTCATAAACCGTTTTATATATTTGTTTCCATAAAGTAGGTCATCAAAACATTCATCCAATTTAGTGATATGGGCATCAAATCAAGATGGAATTTTGTTGTTATTGTTACAAGTAAAGTATATAGTTTACTTGTTATTTTGCCACACTGAGTGTATCAAAGCATGTATATTCAGTAAAACCTGTCTGATCCGAACACCCCTTGGACCGGTTTAAAGTGTCCAGAATTAAGCAGATGTTCATATTTCAAGGTTTTATAAACGTGTTAGTCAATGGAACCAAGCAAAGTTCACTTTGATATGTGTTCGGAATAGAGATAGAGGTATTTGGATAAACTGGATTCACTGCATGTACAGTGTACCACCTACTTAATGAATAAAAAATATTTTGAAATTGAATATCGAACTTAGAAATTAAATGGAATTTTAAATCTGTTGTTGACACTAAAATTCAATATTTTTCTTTTGAATTAATCAGATAGTGGGGAATATGATAATAGTGATTACCTTATGCCGTCAGAAGGTATTTCGACCCAGTTTTGAGATATCAATGTAAAGAAAGTATGCAAACAAACTTGTCCTCCAAATTCAACATTTGTGACATCAAAAAATATTCATTGTAATTAATCATACTCATCAACTAAATCAAGCTCTCCATCCACACAATCAGGTCAACATAATAGGTCAGATAATGGTTATCCGAAACTGTTAAACCCATTTACAGGCGTTAGTATTTGTTAAACCTGCACATCGCTCCAAAACGCAATATGTTGACATATATTGTTTTTACATTTTCAAGCTCTAATATAAAGTTTATGTAAATAAAAATTGTTTTTTTCTGCGTAATATCAAAGAACAATCATTTAGTTAAAAAAATAAAAAGGCTAATGCTGGATTCGAACCCGGGCCTCCTGGGTGCTCAGCGAGGATTCTAGCCCAACACCACCATATTTTTATGAATGTGGTAAATAAACGCTACTTATTTTGAATGCTATGATTCGGTAGTGACGTCACGTTCTTCATTTAGAAACCTTTCCAAAATCATATCGCCGGCTCCGATCGAAGCAAATTCAATGAAAAATCTTTGAAATGGCCAAGATTGCGTTTCGGAGCGTAGTCCAGCTTTAAACAACACGATAGGAGTATGATCGTTTACGATGCACCTTGACCAAATCAGATACGGTCAACGAGACTGATCTTTATAATTTACAGATTTTCGTACACTTATAGCAAGTTTAACGATGCCAGTTGTACTAATCACGGGCTCATTGGTTGTGGGAATACGTAGCTTTCTTAATTTCCAGACCTCGATCGCGCATGCGCGAGACTTGTCAAAGATGCTTTTAAGTGAAAATCGAAAATGTGGTCTATATGTGAAAAATGAAAGATGTTACTCCATTTTAGGGAAAAATTGCATTGTTAGGAACAAAATGGATTGAAGGTTGTTTCATTTTACCCATTTTACCTTCATTAAACGGTTCTTAAGAAAGGTTTGAGAAAATGGAGCTCAGAAGGATGAAATTTGGCATATAAAAGTTAGTTACCATTCTTAATAAAACTTGAGTTAGTAATCAAGTCAAATCAGCCTCGTTCTTGAAAATCTAATATGGCAGCCTCTCGCCGGGTTAGATTTTTCAATACTTTTTGCCAAGGTTAATTAAAAGTTATTATGACACAATAACATAAAACGTATAAGATGACTTATCCGAAATGAGCCTGTAGATCTTCGTACAGGTAGCTTGAATTATTGCTAGAAAGGCAATAAAGTTTCACTATCTGTCCAATTAAAAAAACATACGAGGCGTGAATTCCATGTACTTTATGTTGAATTTAACAATAAATAAAGTTAAAGCAAGATTTATACAGTCAGATTAGCATATTAGGCCAGATTGTGTTAACTTTAAATGTCATACGCGCATTAGTAGTGTTATACAATGTTATAAGAAGTATGATCGTTTCCGATGCACTCTGACCGAGACAGACTAGTAAAACGTGAGATATAATTTTTTATCATATACGTTTCTTCTTCCTTCTCATACTAAATAGCTAGTTCCAAGATGGCAGTTGTACTAATCACAGGCTCATTGGTTGTAGGAATATTTTTTCTAATTGCATTCCTATTCAGACGGCGGAATGTAGACATACCTGGACCAAAAGGCATTCCCTTATTAGGAAATGCGCTACAACTCTCCAAAGATATACCATATATTCAGATTCAAAAGTGGGCGAAGGAATTCGGAAGTGTCTTCAAACTCCAACTTTTCAGAGAAGAAGTTGTCGTTTGTAGCGATTATGAAACGATCATGATGACAAAGTCAGATGATTTTGTAGGACGACCAAAATCTTGGCGATTTACTTTTGTAATTCCTGGTGGCGATAAAGGTATCGCCTTTCAAGATTTCAACGAATCGCAGAAGCTAATGCGAAAACTTGCTGTTCAAGGACTCAAACAGTATGGAGAAGCATCTAATCGTATCGTTGATTTATCTATGGAGTCGATAACAGAATGCATCTCAGAGTTTTTGTCACACAATGGTGAAGCGTTCAATCCAGTTACCCCCCTGGATCGGTGTATCACAAAATACGCTTTGAATTTGGTAAGTTTTATAAACCTTGGGCATTTAATCACTAGTTTTAATGTTTGACTTAGTATAACGTTTATTTCTGGTCACACATTTGACAAACATGCAAATAAAGGGTAATTTATAACGTACTGGATTCATGGTTTATCCCATTATATCAATAACATAATGTTAAATCACAATGTCAAAAATACTTCTAAACATTTTGCATTGAAGTTTTTACGCGGTGTATGGCATACATTTATGGTTTTGCGGTATTTGTGATACAAGTGAATATGACATACTCACCTGTGGTATCTGACATATTCCGCAAGTGAGTATGGCATGTTCCGCATTAAAATATGATATAGTGAATACCTCATATTCACCTGCGTAATATGACATATTCACTCGATGAATATGACATACACGTTGCGGAATATGGCATTTACCGTACGGTAAACATCATACAAAATTCCCTTGATTTGATTGGTTTAGAGAATCAACACTAAATGTAAAACTATAATGGATTACCATTGTTTTTATCGCTTCGATACTAAAATATGAATACTGGAGTGACTGAGTAAGTTTATTACATGTGATTAGTAAATGATACTTCTGAAAGTATCAGTAACGTATTGACCGCGATCAAATACTCGTGTTTTTTAAGTTTTTTTTATCTGGTCTTTGTAACCTGTTGATCTGGTTGTAAAAGTCACTCATAAGCTTCACGAACGTAAGTTCGTTTAATTATGTCTAATAATGTTTCCCTTGAAGTGTGTTTTGCGTGTAACACATATTTAAAACTACATCAAACAATTCAGGCACCACCGGTGTATGTTATTCAATTTTATTAGTTCATATAGTCAATGCACTGACCTGTTGATCGATGTAATTGACAATTGCGTACTTCCGCATCGCGTTCTCATTGGTTAATGTATATGCCATATACCGCAGGTGAATCTGTCATACAACGTAAGTGAATATGTCATATTTCTTTACGGAATATGCGTAACAGAATTTAGGGTAACACAAAATATGCAACACCTCATAATTACTTGATCAAATGAAGAAATATTCAACCGTGATCAAAATTTCAACCGTGATTAACAAAATTTTAGTTGCTTTTTTCAGAATTTCAATTTTGTCGATTGATTTTTTGCGAGAAAGGATCGATTCATACCTGACTGGAAAAAGGTTGTATAAAGTTCGTGCTTTCCAAATAAAGTCTATGTTAAAACATCTGGTAGAGGTGTAACTCAGTTTCTAAGCATAGAATGCAGAATCAGATGCATAAGGGGTGCCAAAATTGCAAGCAACATGTACAATTGGCATTTACAATTGGCATGCCAACCCTTTCCTTATGATCTGAGTCTCAAATACAATCTCCAAAAGTTATAATTTGTTATAAATGAAATTATTAAGGATTCAAAGTGTGAAAATGGGAAAATCTTTCAATTCTACAAATAACAAAGTGATAACAATAAAAATAGAAAAATAATACATTATTTTGAAAACCTTTAGTTTTTTTCGGAATAAAAGTATGCACTTTGGGGATTTTTAGAAAATAGACATGACAACAAAGAATGATAAAAACAAATGCTCTATGCCTTGAGCTCAGTTCTTAAAATACTTATTTTTATTGGAGAAAATGTGGACTTAATAGAGGATGATTTCGTCGCTGTAGAGAAGATGCAGCGTGGAATGGAACACATGGCACAAGGTAGTGGTCAGGAGTTAGATATCTTCCCATGGCTGCGTCACTTTAGCACAAGGTCTTTACAGAGGTTTGATGGAAATGAACAAAGTTGGTAGTGACATCTTTAAGTCATGGATTGATAGATTTAGATCCAAGGTACCATATAATTTATAAAAACAAAGATAAATAAATTCTGAGTTAGTTCCATTTCATGAAGATACAATTTCAAGCGAATTGATGGAATATACGTTTTGGCTTATGACCAAAATTGGTAAAAACATTTATGAAGCTGTAGTGTTCTGGGTACATGCGCTCTTAGGTAGGCAAAAGTAAAAGGAACAAAACTTAATAGGTTTGTAGTTGGCTATAGTTTTGACAATTAAAGCGATGGCCATTTCGAAATTTCAAGACATTATTGTTCACGTGTGAACTTAGCGACATGTACAATTTTAATTGATAATGACGAACTTAGGTTCGGCAAAGAGGAATGAAATAAGTACTTTTCGAGAAAAGTGGCGCGATCATTTTGGAATTATTTCAAGGCAGCGAAAGTGGCGGCAACTCTGAATCCCAAGATAACTTGGAGACAATCGTAGATGCACATATGAGTATGATTACATGTTTCGAATGTATAACCCAAAATACCAAGATCAAATGACACTGATGTAACGTGATGTATTTATATGTGTTCCAGTCCGAATCAAACTCGAAGGATTCCAAACGCATAACAACTGTACTTGGCACACTACTGACAGCTTGTGATGATGGACTCATAGATATGGACAATGTCAATAGTGCATTATTTGAAACCATCTTAGGAGGTGAAATTCTTCTAGATGTTTAGTTTAAAAGCATGCCAATTCCCCATCCTATTAAGCTACGTGTGAATATTATATATCGTGACTAAGTTATTTTGCATTTTTCGTCTCCAAGTTTTAGTTTAGATTGGTTAACACATACGGGCAATCATATAGCTCAAAGGTATGGTTTGGACAGGGTCAATATTTCAATGTTATCCCGCTTCCACTTCATTACGCTACCCTACCACGTGACAACGTTAAAAGGGGGATACAAGCTACAGTAAAAATGCTAGCCTTGCCCAAGTTGGTATTTTATACTTATCTGATCTTGAATTATTACCGCCTTGTACAATCCAATACATATCTGCTTTATCGCATCCTACGACCCCTTTAGATTGTGGCCGTACGCGCGAATCATTGGTCAGTCAATGTTTTTACAAAGTTGGAGGAAATACTACGCATTGCACACCTAAACGACGTACCTCGATACATTTCTTAGTATTTTAGAATTATTTTTATGTAGTTGAATCGCCAATTGTATGGGTTTATCGGTAGAACGAAGAGGTTTTCGTTTTTGATAGCAATATTTGCGTGTAATATTTAACTTATTTCAACCGTCAAATTCCTCCATTCAGTTCCCGGCATGCACCAGTCATAAGGGAAATCCCCGGGGAATTCCCCTTCCGACATTTTGAAAATTGCTGACATATTTCCGATGTAAAAACTAAAATCTCTTCGTTCTGCCGATAAAAACCCATACAATTGGCGATCTAACAACATAAAAGAATTCTAAAATACTCTGGAATGTATCGAGGTAGGTGCAATGCGTAGTTCATTCTCCGACATTGTAGAAAGACATTGGCTTACCAATGATACGGGCGTACGACCACAATCTATAGTGGTCGTAGAATTCGATAAATATCTGCTGATATTATGCTGAGTTATTCAGCGTTTTCGAGATTTCCATAATACCTATGCTATCAGGGGCATCGCGAAACCTTATTGATTGACAAGATCGCGTGGACACGACGTGTGACTTCAGGCTGATTGGCCAATCAAAACGTTATCAGGTTGACCTGCATAAACAAAGCAAACTTCCCGTCTACGACTTGAAATTCAATGATCTGATCGAATGTTTCTTTAGTGTTACAATATATTATATAATTAAATGTACAGGGTGTCCAATAAATAAGGTGAAAGACATTGTAACTTTCTTAATATTGCACCAATCTTGATGAAATTTTCAGAGTTTGTAGCCCAAACCTTTTTACCTTTATTCCGTGAATTTAAGTGTCTTCTATTTGATTGGCCAGAGCTGTGGTTGCTATAGCAACCAAAACAACAAAAAGGCGGGGCAAGTTTGTTTACGTCACAACTTTCCAAAACATATTAATTCTTTCTGATAGCTTTATTCATACTCCCAAGTCTATTACTACCGCAAAAACAGTATAAAAACAGTCATAAAGTCCCATTGTTATGAAAATAAGCTACTCAACATAATGTCCATCGCTATCTATACACTTCTCATGCCTATTCACCCACTCTCTAAACAGACTTTCAAACCCATTTCTTGTCTTTCTTGTCCAAGTCTTGCTAAGACATGTGATCTGAGTTCATCAGTGCTTCCAAATTTATTTCCTCTCAAGTCACGCTTGAGTTCTGCATATAAGTAAAAGTCATTGGGTGCAAGGTCTGGGGAATATGGAGGGGGTGCAAGTAGGGATGGCCCCAGTGCCCTTATAGTTTCACTGGTGAGCATAGCTGTGTGTGAACTCAGATCACATGTCTTAGCAAGACTTCAGGAAATGGGCAAGAATGGGTTTGAAAGTGTGTTTAGAGAGTGGGTGAATAGGCATAAGAAGTGTATATCTAGAGATGGACATTATGTTGAATAGCTTATTTTCATAACAATAACATAACAATAGGACTTTAGGACTGTTTTTATATTGTATTTGTGGTAGTAATAGACCTGGGAGTATGAATAAAGCTATCAGAAAGAATAAAAATGTTTTGGAAAGTTGTGACGTAAACAAACTTGCCCCGCCAATCAAATAGAAGACGCTTTAAATTCACGGAATAAAGGTAAAAAGGTTTGGGCTACAAACTCTGAAAATTTCATCAAGATTGGTGCAATATTAAGAAAGTTACAATATCTTTCACCTTATTTATTGGACACCCTGTACATTGGAATGTAAGAGTCATTAATATAAATTAAATCATGCGATTCAATGTTGATTTAAAACTGATTTAGGGATGAAAATGCACAAAGACCTAGTCAATGAAGCGGGCCATGAGTCGTCGATTAGTGATTGAATCTCGGCCTACATGTTCGATCATTTGAATTCAACGATCGTTTCAACGTTAATTGTTGAAATCTTCTCACCTCGGGTAGACCGATCGATACTCCGGCATCCACTAAACTCTGATTGATATTTATCTGATAAAATATTTGTATTTTCATGATGAATTCGTGCAAGGATTTGTTCGTGAAAGGTCCCGGTGAAAAGCTGAAAAGTGTACTTGTTTTTGACAGTGCATAATAATGAGCTAACGCTGCAGGGTCGTATAAGTAGATAAGTAAAAGAGACCGACTTGGGCAAGGCCATAAAAATGCAAATGGAGCGGATATTCTCTATCCTTGTTTATATGATTTTTCTAGTAATAATACAATGTAAATCGTGCGATGAATCTAAATACAATGTGTAGTAGAACACATGGAATGTATGTAAAATCTAGTAAGGTTATACCTTTGAAAATATGAAAATAAACAAACGTCCTCCATTTGCAACTTCACTGTAGCCTGTATCCCTTTTAAAGAAATACAGGCTACAGTATCGGAGTAACTTAGGGTGATGTAGCCTCCAAAATGTTATGACTTGGATTTATATTAACGTGAATTATTAGAGTCGTTTTAAAATCCCTGTGATGTTGATGCTGTTCCAGGCACTGTGACAAACAAATCACACCTTGACTGTTTCATCCTGCTTATACTTAATTACCCGGATGTCCAAGAGAGACTTATTGCGGAGATACAAGCTGCAATTCCTGCAGATAAATCTCCAACTCTCGCTGACCGTGAAAAACTGCCATTCACAGAGGCAGTAATATTGGAGAACTTTCGATTCATGTCGCCGGGTCCATTGGGTGTTGTCCATAAGACTATGTGTGATACAAGTCTCGGGCGATATAAAATACCTAAAGATACACAGGTATTCATACACACGTACCATGTTTTGTTTAGCAATAATTTGTGTTCAATAATCATTTTGATACTTTTTTCTACTAATAGTTTGTAGGGAGGTTTGGGAAAGGTTTACGGCAAAAAGGAGTAGAGTATAGGCACTTATACCATTTTGATCTATGTTGGCATGACTTCAAATGTTAGTTGTTGAGGGTCTCCCAGAGGTGGTGTACCAGAGATATGCGTTGCTATAGCAACACTATCTATGAAGTATTCCCTACTTTGATACACAACAATATGACTTCACATATTTTAAGGGTGTACTTGCTTTAAACTTATATGTTTGTTTGTTTTTATTTGTAATTTATAGTGGTTAGTCATATACTCTATTGAATGCCCATGATAAAATTATACAAAATAAAGTTTCATATCAAACCAAGCCCACTTTGGACTTATCAACCACGTCTAATTTTGACTTAATCCATAATTATAAAATATAAATATAAATACAAAATAACCAATTAAGTCTTCATGGAAATCATCTTTCTGTTCCTTGCATGAGCCTCTTTAACGTATTTTACAATTTTACTTGTCTGATTTTAAAAAATAAAAATAAATTTTAAGCGAATTAATACACTAATGGTCCTAATGATCAAATGCTAGTTGTTGGTGTCACTCGGGGATGAAGGACAAGAAATTCGCGTTACCAAAGCATCCTCATCAATGAAGTATCCACTCCCTTGATATCTCCACGATATCTCCAAATATTACATGTAATGGTTATTGTGTGTTTTCTTCGAATACAGTATGTAATAAATTGTAATATTGTAAACATTCTGTTGATGTAATTTATGTGTTCATATTTTCTAATAGCGTGTAAACCAATGCGCCTGTAGCACATTTTTATGAATGTCTTTTAGCCTTGCCGAATGCCAATGTAAGAAGCATTTTACTACACGGTATTCTACTGGTTGAGTCACTGTTCTTGATTGTCTTTATTGTTACAGTTTAGTCATACAAATTAATCCGCATCGGTATTTATATTGTAACTCTTTGTAATTTATATGCGTGCAGTTACACGCTGTTCATTTATAGTTTTTGATTGCATTTATATCTGTTATTATGTTTGTTTAAAGGTGTCACGTAACGTGACGTTTTTGTAAATGTATTTGTACCTGTTTCACAGTTTTTACTTGATTCTCAGTTTTTTACGTACACTTGCACTTTTACATCACAGTTCATGTCTGCCTTAGCACTTTTGAACATTGTATGTACCGTTTTTATTGTACTCTCATTTATTTGAGCTATGCTCATTCTGTTCTTGACAGCCTCTGGAGCACTGTTCATAGTGGAACAAGTGCGCGGTTGTTTTTTAATTACGTAACTACATATACACTTATTATATAATCTTTAGGTAGTTAGTCAATTAGTCATGGTATAATCATTTATTTCAATTAGTATTTAGAAATATATTATGTAACATTATGTAATATCGCCAAACAAAACACATTCTTGTTTGTTATTTGTTTATCAACGTAATTCTAGTATACAAATCAAATACAACATTATTTTACAATCATTCATATCTGTTCATATATAAACAAAAATATAATCAAGTCTGGTATAAGAGGTTTCACATGAAAAACAGTATGCAATATGGCAAATTCTGGTTTGGTGTGTAATATATATCTTTTAAAGTAGCTTACAGAAGAAGTTTATTATCTTCATCACTAAGTTCTGTATTACCATGTAATGTCATATTGACCTTGCTAACAGAGTTAACAATAATAAGGTACACGTTATTGAGAAATTTTATAATTATTTCCCTCCCCCTCCCTTATAAATGTTTTGTAAATGCACTTCATTTCCCCAGGAAACGTGGGTATGCACTTAATTAAGCTAATTAGGATTATGTGATAATTAGGTTAAGGGTGTATTTTCAAAAAAAGATAAAATAAAAAAGCATATATAAGTTAGGGAAATATAAATTATTTAATTAATAGCATCTTTATGTTTTACTAGAAAGACTGACAAGAAATGATACGTGATGGTTCATCATGATGGAGTGCAATCAACATATCGCAGATCTTTTGTGAGATATTTGGTTTGAGAATCTAAGAAATAAACTGATATGTCAATTGTACATATTGCCTACAGTTCTGTCATAAAATGAAAATGGAAATGACCATATTCATTAGACTGTCAAAACGTCGAAATTAATGAGTATTTTCGTATCTCCCGCCGAATATACTGGGTATAACGTCGTAAACTTCCGGTGCTACGCCGTTTAAGAGAATGGGGTGTGTATGTAAGGACTAACTTTACTAAAACACCAAAATGAGCAATTGAATGATGCAGTTCATATAAATTCACCCGAGAGTACTTGACACATTATTTAAAAGTGTGCCTTTCAAAAAATCTAAGCGGGTCGAAATGAGGTAAAATCTTTTTCAAATATTACAGAAGATAAGTTCAGTACGTAGTGATACGACGTCAGATACTGTACATCGCGGCATTTTACTGCATTTTTACATGCGTTCTTACTTTTAAAACCGCAATATCTCGACAGCAAAATCATATTTTTCTACAATTTTTCGTCATCAGTTGAACACGTATGTCCATGAAATATTTTGCCTATCAGAATTCCAAATAACTGATTTGGGACTTTTTAAATGCGAATCACGCAAGCCGTATTATGCGACTTTATATGCTAAAACCGGGTGTGGACTGTAACATTTTGAAGAAAAATGATTTCAATTTTAAACGAAAAATGAAGATAACTTTTTCATTTCTTAACGGATCTTTCTCAAACTTTCACAATATTTAAATTCACCATTTTGAAAAAGACAAACAGATTCTGGTTGATGACGTCATAATATAACAATGCTAACTTAACGCTTATATTTATGCAAAAAAAGTGTGGACAGGCAGAATTTCGTACCAACAAGATATATATTTTGATCAATTAAACATTAAATCGTTTGAAAGGTGAATTATTATTTTTTGATTCCTGAAAGGCATATCATATTCTATATTTTTATCAAAAAACTATATCATTTCGATTGAAATTCAGTCTGTAAGAAGCATAAATTGAAAGAAATATGAAGTGAAGCCATGTGAAAAATTCACAAAATTACGTTTCATTTTTTGAGTTCAAATATTTCTAATTAAGGGATAAACATTCAAAACTTTTCAATGTTTCAGCATGTTCTATTAAATATACCCCTTACTACATACAATTAATTTCATTTAATTTGATCCAGTATATATTGAGATAGACATCATTTATCACCGCAACCCCAAGTGAAGCCTTTACAAAATAAGACGTTATGCCGTTAGCGTATTATATGTTCTCCTTTATTATTCATTGCTTCAAATAAATAAAACTAAATATTCGAGTTAAAATCAATTACAAATAATGCATTTAACAATCCTTAATATCTTCCCGTCTGTGTATATCAGTTGAATATGACAAGGGGCACTTTGAAAGTGTCTAGAAAGACGGTGCGACAACGAGAGCGCGGGGCCGAAAAGCGCGACAAAGAAGAAAACGGGTAGGGTTTGAAATGTCTACTTTCTGGTGATTCTAATTCTGTATATCGTGATACAACCTTTTTGAATATAGAATTGTATTGAAGCACACATTAATCTGAACAAAACTTGAAGTTTTTAAGAAGATTCCACGAATATTAGAACTTCTGCAATTACTTGGAGGAGCATTGCGCATATTTATCGCGTAAATCTTTGCATTTTGTCGGTAAAATGGACAATTACAATGTTACGCCGTGATGTACAGTATCTGACGTCGTATCAGTGCATTTCAAAATGATAATTTGATTTCATCTTACATATGGACTCTGGAACTGAAATAAAGATATTTATAATATATTTGATTGATAACGTCGATTTCTGGTTGATAGTATACTAATTTTCATATTTGACGTTATGCTTTGATATTTCAACCAAATCAGCCTTCTATGGCATGGACACTTTGGAGTATGTACGCCCGTTTTCCATAACAGCAAAGAAGAATCGATCATATTTCATATCAATTTTAGGTAAATATACATATTTTAAAGGTATTGATGTCGTTTTACAGAGCCTTATAAATGTATTATCACCAATTTGGTCCATTTTCCCAGATTGTACAAAGAATCGGATATACAGGTATGCTCGCATTTTCAGCGGGTACTTGTTCGCGATTTCGAGAAGCATAACTGGGCCTGGATAGTCCCCGTGAGTATAATCGTTACACGTTGACCCAGATGATAGATAACGGAGCTGTTTTTATGCGATCTTTGTCATATTTTTTGGCACTTATAAGTAGTTCAACGATGGCAGTTGTATTTATCACAGGGTCTTTGGTTGTAGGAATATTTTTTCTAATTGCATTCCTATTCAGATGGCGGAAGATAGACATACCTGGACCAAAAGGCATTCCTTTAATAGGAAATGCGCTACAACTCTCCAAAGACCTACCATATATTCAGATTCAAGAATGGGCGAAGGAATTCGGAAATGTCTTCAAACTCCAACTTTTCAGAGAAGAAGTTGTTGTTTGTAGCGATTATGAAACGATCATGATGACTAGGTCAGATGATTTTGCAGGACGACCAAAATCTTGGCGATTCCTTTTTGCCATTCCAGGTGGCGACAAAGGTGTTGCCTTTCAAGACTTCAACGAATCGCATAAGCTAATGCGAAAACTTGCTGTCCAGGGACTCAAACAGTATGGAGAAGCATCTGATCGTATGGTTGATATATCTATTGAATCGATTGAAGAATGCATTACAGAGTTTTTGTCACACAATGGTGAAGCGTTCAATCCAATCACCCCTTTAGATCGCTGTATCACAAAATACATTTTGAAGTTGGTAAGTTTAATTAACCTTGATCATTTAATCACTTTAACGGTTGGCATATTTCAATCCAAAGTAGGGCTGCTGTTAGTCCTCAGGTTTCAATACACCATTGCAAAGGTGAGAGTGTCAGCTTTAAGGATCTGGTCGCTTTTTGGATGTTTGCTCGTACAAAATTGAGAAAATTAACCCTTTCATCTCCAAGAGGTAAAATTAACAATTATATGATAAGTTTTCAAATAAAAAAAAAATGTCAATGATTTTATATTTTCAATTTAAATGTCCTTATTTACAAAATTTGTATCCTAAGAAACATGCTAGTGTATACTTAAAATGTCTGACCTCGATGGTTATCTTAGAATTTTTCTTTGAAGTTAACACACAAAAATATGTGAAAATAATTCCAACTTTCCATCAGATTTTCATTCATTTTTCATTGAAAAAAGGAGAATAGACTTAGGTAATATCAATATGATATTTATGACATTTTCAATGACCAATTGTATGACTGTGCCTATCTATTTTGTTCATATGAGGTTCGGAGAGTGGTTCTAGGTGAAAATGTTTTTCTGAATGCCTTTCCGATCTGTTACACGTTAGAAAGTATCTAGCAAGTTGAAGAATACCTTCCTGACCTTTTCTACTTTGAGAAGGTTACTGAAGATCGAATCTCAGAATCTAAAGTCAGATTTGAACTATCGAAAAAATGTAGATAATTTTGAAAAAAGAAATACGTCAATTTTAACCAAATTGAAAACATACCTTTTTGACCTTGAAAGGGTCATTGAAGGTCAAATACTTTAAACAAACTTTCGAAAACTTGTAGATGATTTTGAAATTGGTCGATTTGAAGAAAGTTGAAAAATACCTTTTAAACCTATGTTAACGTTGAAGGTAAATTCTCAAAACTAAAGTCAAATTATAACTTCAGAGAACTTGTAGATGATTTAGAAAAAATTGAAGTCAGTCTTAACAAAGTACTTGTTATTAAAATTGAAGTGATGATTGGGTCTCATTCACAAATTTATTTATTTTAATTTTTATGAAATGAACCCCTCCTCCTCCACATGTAAACAAAAGGGGAAATAGTATATACCTCTTGTAGTCAATGTTTCATAAATCAAAAGTTCACTTGTCACGATTTTTGTGCTAAATCAAAACAATTCATTTTATTGAATGTCGCGTAAGGCTTACCAAAAATTTACCAGAGGGGGTATAACTATGGTTTTTATCAAGTTGGTATCAGATCTACCAGAGTAGAAGTAAAGTAAGGACAATAATTATTGGAATATTATGCATATCATTCCTTGCCATGTTTGATTTCTAAATATCTCCAAAGTGGATATACTTTATTTTAGGAAAACTAAAGATTTTTACAACAATGCATTCATTTGTCTAAATATGGTTACATTTTTTATAATTTGGGCATCCTTGGTCCAAGGGTATTTCACCTCTTTCCATACCCTTAGTGCAGCTTATACAATAACGCAAATGCGAGTAGTTAGTTACCAGTTTCATCACCAGGTGGCTCGCTCGGGTCAGATAGCATGGCGGGTATAGTAGAAAGTTCCCTTTAACTTAAATTACATCTGTTTTAGTGGCTCAATTTTCATATAGCCCTTATGTATCGAATAGTTATGCAAATTAAAGTATGTCCAGTAAAAGAAAATGTTATATGTCCAATACAAGAAAAGATATTTCACTTTTTGTGATTTTGTAATATGGGGTCTATGGGGAATCAACCCGAACTAGAAGTCACATTTTCAAAACAGATTAAATTTTCAAAGTTGATGAACAATTTTCGAAACCATATTTTTAGATGTATTTTTACATGTAGATTTCAAATATGACATCACTTTGACTGAATTTTGAATATTTAATGACGTAAATCAAGTTCATTTCTACTCGCATCTAGTCTATTGTCAGGACTGAGCGAACAAACTTTCAAATAGCCATTAAATCACCAGCCAATCAAAACAGTTGTTACTTAATCAAGGGTCAAAATCAACAAAGATTCTCCAAAGTTCATAGAAAATGTCTCTTTAATTGTGAGTATTTGCTCAAAAGAGATGAAATTTCACAAGGTATGGGACATGTATTTCGCTATAGGTCCAGTCAGTTTCATACTGATCCAAGGTGTGTTCACTGATTTGTGATTGCTATATGACACAAATGCAAATAACACGGATAATTTTGAGAGAAAGTTAAATATGCTTGAAAAGGTTCTTATATTGTGGTCAAAACGAGATCTTACTTTTTATGGAAAGGTACTCATAATCAAGTCCCAGGCAGTTTCGAAGCTAATATACTCGATGACAATGACCAATACGCCTGATGATATCTTGACGAAGGCTCAACGACTAGTCTATTAGTTTTATGGGGAGGAAAGGGTGAGAAAATTAAGCGAAATACTCTGATAGGGGATTTTGAGGATGGGGGTCTAAGAATGATTAATATGTTCACAATGGAGAAAGCGACTAGTCACTGGAAGCTTATGTTCGTTAATTTAAAAAATGACCGTTAATTTAAATGACCACCAATGTTCTTCTTGACCTATGTCCATTATTACTTGATAGGTCAGCAGCTGAGCAAAATATTAAAAAACTTTTTGTGCCCTAAGTTTCTCACTGGATTCATATAAAGCAAGGTCTTGGGGTTATTTTGAGCTTGGGTTCTTTGTCCTAGCCCCGGCAACGAATGTGAAAATCGGCCCTATAGGTGGCGCCCCCTATAATTTAACCCAAATTTTAAAATTAATTTTTATATTCATAGCTGGAACACAAGGACACCTTTGATAGCTCATATTGATCAATGGTACATCAAATTATATTATGAAATTTTTTTCAATGTGTAAAAATGATTGTTAAAGAGAAATAACTGATTAACCCCCTAAAATGCCCCCAATTTTAAAGGGGGTACTTATGTTATCTTCCATTACATATACTTTTGTTTTATTCAAGATTTGGGCTTGAAAATATTCCTGAATATGCACAGCTATGTCTGTGGGAGACTGTAGTAATCCCATGCCCATAGCTTTATCACTTTTTAAGAAAAAAATGAAACGTATTTGCAAATAATTCAGTTTCATTTCATTTTCAGATATACTATCATCTACTCTTTTTTATTTAATTTTCCACTTCTTATCACCATGCGTATATAAATATTTTTCTTTCATTTCTAGACCAACATAGATGAAACAGAATGCAGTTCTTATAGAATAAATACTAATAAAATGAAATTTAAGGAGGAATAATTTATTTACCCCGTAAAACACCCCCAGGGGGGGGGGTGTTTTTCATTATTTTCATTAGGTTCACATTTCACAACTTTGGCCCAAAATCACTTGAAAAGTGCTCAGAATGGTGAAAAGCTGCAAGATTTTGAATGATTTTTTGGTACATATATATATTTCTAGACCTTTTCCCTTTTGGACATTTCACTTCAAGACTTTTCATCTCCTATACATTTCACCCCTTAGTTGTTTGGCCCTTAGACAATTCACCCCCAGATGTTTCACCCATTAGACATTTCATCCCCTGGAGATTTTACCCCATAGACATTTCACCCCTAGATGTTTCACTCCTAGACATTTCACCCCTAGATATAACACCCCTTAGACCTCTTACTTCTTGGCATTTCACCCTCAATTAATTAAGTGTTACTTGGAGAAGAAATTAAATACTTTCATGTTAATTGAATTAAAATTCTCTAATGACGCAGCCTTTGATATTATGCATGTATATTCATATATATGGCGGTGAAGCGTCCAGGATGTGAAATGTGTCGGGGTATAACATCTTAGGGGTATAACGTTTCAGGGCTGATATTTCGAGGGGTGAAATGTCTAAGGGATGAAAAGTCCAGGGGTGACCTCTCGGACATTTCACCCCTTATATATTTCACCCTTAGATGTTTCACAACTAAGACATTTCATCCCCTTGACAATAGTAGACATTTCACCCTATGGACATTTCACCCCTAGATGTTTCACCCCTTAGACATTTCACCCATAGAACATTTCACCCAAAGATGTTTTGCCCCTTAGACATTTCTCTCCCTGAACATTTTATGCCCTATACATTTCACCCCTAGTTGTTTCAAAACTCCTTAGACATTTCATCCCCTGGACATTTACCCGATAGACATATCACCCCTAGACATCTCAACTAGAGTTTTCACACCTACACATTTCACTCCTAGATGTTTCACCTCTTAGATATTTCATGAACGTTCTCGGATGGGAAGGTGATTTTAGAATTTTGAATCGATTCAAAATTCGATGGCGACCATACCGTTCTGTAATCAGGTCATGATGACCTTCTAGACTAAGGGACGCGTTGTACAACGTTGCACACCGACGTGGTGCGACCTGAACGAACTGCGAATGAGATGGACGTATTGAAGACTGTTTATGAACGAAGAAGCTAATTATTTTAGACATATTTCCCGACCACAGCCAGATTGAGCCCGTTTTACGACGTTTTCGTAGGACTGGCAAGAACGGTAAGAACTAGTTTGGTGTGATAGGGGGGTCAACAACATTACCTTATTCATTACTAAAACTGTCCTTAATATTGCATCATTTTAACCTTTCTTATATTACTCACACTTATTCCTCAAGTTTATTTCAAGCGTCTTGGAGGACTGAGTTTTTTGTTGCAATGTACTTATGATATTAAAACACTGGCACACAATGTTCCTACCTTTTATATGAATTTGCTTCGAAACTATTCACAATTAAGAAATATGTCGCCGCCTAGAACCAGTTCAGAGGTTAAAGGTGAAATAATTTGGAATAACAAATCAATCCTAATTAATGATTAGGAGGTGATGTACAAACATGTCATGGAAAAGGGAGCCATTTATATTAATGACCTTCTTAACGAAAATGGGATTTTGTACAGTACAATGGGTTTAAAACTAAGTATAATATTAATATCAACTTTCTTGAGTATTTTTCAATCATATCGACTATACCGAATGATTGGAAACTTTTATTGAAATCGGATTTAAATTCGACCTTTGAACCCAGCATACAGGAAGAATTCATGTATTTGAATCTTGGTGGAAAACAGGTGACAATTTCTAGTTTAACGGTTAAATCAATTCAAACAGTATTAAATGGAAACAAGTTCTTGGAACTGTTATATAAAGACAAACATGATCGTGAATTAAACAGAACCGATTATTTTAAGATGCCTTATATGTGTACGAAACAGAATAAAACGCGACAACTTCAATTTAAAATACTTCATGGTATCTGTACTACAAATGCCTTTTTAGTGCAGATAGGCATTAAAAAAGATTCTAAATGTAATTATTGTGCCTCTGGAGATGTTAAAACACGAATTCTGGGAGTGCAAAAGGATTCAAATATTTCTGAAAGCAATCAAAGGGAATTTAAAGCGTTTATTTAAAGTTGATTTCGACTTAAATGCCCATGACATGATTTTTGGAAGGCAAGTTAATGAGAATAATATCTTACCAAATAGATTTACCCTTGCAATTAAGTCCTATATTTTTATAAAAGAGTTCGACGAAGTGAATCCCAATTTGTATGAGGCGCAATTTGAAAAAAATATGTTTTATTATGTACCTGTACTTAAAAGTATGACTGTTGCAAATGTCTGAATGAATGGAGGTGATGTGAAAAATATCTGAATTGTTCTAATTATTGTACTTGTAATGTTTGAATAGAGAAATAAAAATAAATAAAAAAGAGTATGTGTATGATTATGGTAAGACGTTTTTAACCTTAACGTATAGTTTACCCCCAATAAGTAAAACCGAATATGGGACAATTTACGATAATTGATATTTTAAAAAATACAAAATTCGAAAATTAAAATATTCATATGAGAATGGATTTTTCTTATAGTTCAGAGAAACCATGCAATAGTCCAAGCCGAATTTAACCCAGTTCTTTAACGAACTTTCAGTATTTTTATTGTAAATGACAGATACTTGGAGAAAATGTGGACTTCATAGAGGATGATTTCGTCGCTGTAGATAAGATGCATCGTGCACAGCAACACTTGGCGCAAGGGTTTGGTCAGGAGTTGGATATCTTTCCATGGCTTCGTCACTTTGGCACAAAGTCTTACAGAGATTTAATGGAAGCGAACAAAGTTGGAAGTGACATCTTTAAGTCATGGATTGATAGTTTTAGATCCAAGGTACAATATGAAAAAAAATTCTGACTTTATTTCATTTAATTTTAACATTTAACAAAATATTTCCCTATACCCTTAGACATTATTGTTCGCCTTTTCACCTAATGGCATGTACAATTTCAAGCAAATTGATGATGATAAAATGGATTAATTAAAGCAGGATTTTTCGGGAAATGTCATTTCGGAATACAGAGGCAGGCTGTCACTATTAATCAAAATGGCCGCCATTTGTCAAAATATGTAATCCTTGATAACTCAAATAAAAGTAAAATGTTATATGCTGATGTCTAGAGTCAAAGGAGATCTGTTCAAGACAGAATGTCCAAGAGGGTAGCTAAAAAAGCCACCATTGTTGATACCTGTTCAAGAAAATTTTTCAAGGTGGCTGTTTTCTGTTCGGTGGGATTTGCTACTTCTTGGAGTTTCTGTTTATTAGATTCTCTCGTCTTTGGATATTGGATTATTAATCAATGATCTTAATCTACACTGTTATTGGACCCATCACTAATTGGACATTCACTTTGTTAAACCTCCTTAATATTATTGTAATTTCTATATTTATCGTTTTTGTAAATAGAAGTTAAAACGTTTGATTAATGTTGTGCTATGCAGAGTCACCGTCCGAACTTACTGTGAAGTGAAATATAATCTCCATTTTCGTTGGATAAGGTCACCAGCAGGGCGATCTTCCACTCACCGTTTGCTATCACGACTGCATAACACGCCATATTGCGAGATGTATTTATATCTGTGTTCCAGTCAGAAGAATCAAACTTGAAGGATACCAAACGCATATCAACTGTACTAGGCACACTACTGACAGCTTATGATGATGGACTCATAGATATGGACAATGTCAATGGTGTATTATATGAAACCATCGTAGCAGGTGAAATTCTGATAGGGATAAACAATGAGTTTTAGGTATTAGGAAAAATTATTTTCTCCTAAGACCCAAGACGAATTGTTTATTTAACTTAAATCACACAATGGGCACAAACTCTTATGAAAGTTTAATGGCCAATGATCCAATTTTAGGAAAAATAGATTCATTTTGAGCAGGTGTCCAAGGCATCATGTTTTACAACTAACAATCTACAGGTCAGGAGCAATACATACACAGTCTCTTATTTCCTTCCTGAAAAAATGAACATAATTGAACCAGCGTTTTTCAAGATATAGCGATTTCTTTGGGTTGCGTTTTTTCGAACACCCTGTACTTAATGAAGTCCTTTGAAATCGTTGTGATGTAAATGCTCTTCCAGGTACGGTGACTACCAAAGCACACATTGACTGTTTCATCCTGCTTATGCTTAATTACCCGGATGTCCAAGAGAGACTTATTTCGGAGATACAAGCTGTAATTCCTGCAGACAAATCTCCAACTCTAGCCGACCGTGAAAAACTGCCGTTTACAGAGGCAGTAATATTGGAGAACTTTCGATTCATGTCTCCGGCTCCATTGGGCTTTCCCCATAAGACCACATGTGATACAAGTCTCGGCCAATATAAAATACCTAAAGATACACAGGTACTCACTTGCATGTACCGCGTTTTGTGTAGCAACCATACGTGTGTAATAATCATATTGATACTTTATACCCCGGGCTTTATACTCATGGTGTACATGGTGTACGAGAAACCATGGCCAGTTTTTTGAGTATTCATTATTGCAGGTATGGATGAATCTATGGACAGCCCATCATGACCCCCACTACTTCACTGACCCCCTTACTTTCAAGCCAGATAGATTTCTGGACAGCGATGGCAAAGCTTACAAGCTAGCAGATGTCAAAGCGTAAGTTATTATTACAGTTTTGTATCAAATGCTAACCATACAGGGGCGTACATTTGGTAAGACGTTCACGCTCTTTATCAGAATACTAATCAATGTCTAAAATAATCGTTTTTATTTTCTTACTTTATACTATACTTTATACATCATTTTTTATATAAAATATGCAACCCAGATCGAAAATTCTTATTATTGCCTGGACCCGTTTTCTCAGCAATTAGAAAACGACAAGGGTAACTCTATTTATATTTTAATGTATGCGACTGTCTTGCTCAGAAAGTCAAATTTCATCTAGGCAAAAGGTCAAACTCTAGGTCAAATTTACAATTTGTCAGTTATCTTTGTTATGAATTATTATTTTTCGATTTTTGTTCAACGTAGCTTTTAAATATGTTCCATCCGTTTTTTACTTGACTCTTATGGATTCTGAGATATAGCGTCCCATAAATAGGCAAAAAGTAAGAAATTGAGATCCGATCAAAAAAGGTCAAGTTTGAAATATTCATTTTGACCTTTAAGATAAGTTTAAACAATATAAAAGTGTCCAAGGTCAAGGTCAAAATCTAGGTCAGTTTCTAAATTTTTCGCGGCTATCACGACACTTTAGTCCAATATTTTATAAAATTTCTTGCAAGTAATTGATTACAAAGTTCCTCTTAGTATTTCAGACGTTTGACTCCTAAAAAGGGTGAATTTCAAAGTGTCTCAATTTAATAGATTAGATAATTTGCTCAGGATTCTGAATCTGAAATCGGCACTTGGGAACTGCGGATTAACATTTTATGACATTTTGGAATTAGAAAATCAATATGATGATGATATTTCGCGATCGATCATAAAGTGAGTAAAAATATTGTTAATTGTAAAATATGCATACGTTTTCTTTCTAATTTTGTCATTATATCAGAGGATGAAGTATTAGATCTTTTCCATGACAAAAGTCTGTAATCTGGAGTCATGAATTTAACTCTGTTCATTTTCATCAATTTAGTTATGATTACGCTTTGGATTGTAATGGCTTCCATATGATTGCATTTTTAAACATAATTTCAGATATGTGTAAGGTATCATATCATTATCAACTCTCATTTTGAATTGCAGATTATTCCCATTTGGAATCGGGAAGAGATCATGCCCAGGCGAGAAAATAGGAATGGACAGGATTTTTCTATTTGTCTCAAATATGATGCACAAATTGAGATTCGTCCCTGTTGACAAGGATAATATTCCGTCGCTTGACCTGAAGACCTTCAGCGTTGCTTTCACTTATCAATCGCCTCCATTCTGTTTGAAAGTAGAACCATTGAACAAGAATGGCTAACAATAACAAATATAAAGTGAGCCTAATAAACAGATCTTGTGATTACATTAATTATATGCAGAGAGCCACCCGTAATATGTAATACGCTAAGAACTGAAACTTTAATATTTGAGACCGATCTAAAGATGGCAGCAGTGAAAGAATTTTCTCCAGGTACTCTGAATGTTTGTGCGTTTATTGATACACCAATCAGGTAACCAGCAAACAAAGAATTTAGAAACTTTGTGCAAATGACGTCTTTATGGGTAAAAAATATGATATTTTGTGTATCACGATATAGTTGGAAACTCAGAAATTTATGACCTGGCAAAACACCCCAAAATGCTTGAATGTTGTTTGAATTACACAATTAGTAAATAAGAATTAAGATCTACCATTCCCCAACAGACAATTAGTTATTTTTCATTGGATCAACAATGGTATATAATTAGACTGAATCAGATAAGAATTTATCAACTATTTCAGTTTGATTTTCCCGGTCCCCTGTACTATTCAATACGAGACTCCGCTAGTGACGTCACTGCTGTACTCGCTGGCCTTATGAATATTCATGACAGAATTAAATAGAAAGGTGTATAACTGTCATGTGGAATATTTGTCCAGCTATTGTTCCTGTGGTGGTGGCGTGGCGTACTACTTAGAAAAATAGCGCTACGCCGATGGCTTATGATGGTGGACTCATAGATATGGACAATGTCAATGGTGCATTATTTGAAACCAACCTAGCAGGTGAAACTCTCCTAGATGTTTAATTTAAAAGCATGTCAGTTCCTTATCTTATTAAGCCCTATTTAGCTACGTGTGAATACAATATATCGTGACTACCCACGTTATTTTGCCTTTCTCGTCTCCCAGTTTTAGTTTATATTGGTTAACACATATGGGCAATCATATAGCTCAAAAGTATGGTTTGGACAGGGGCAATATTTCAATGTTATCCCACTTCCACATCATTACGCTACCCTACCACGTGACCACGTTTAAAGGGGGATACAAGCAACAGTGAAAATGCAAATGGAGCGGATATTCTCTATCTTTGTTTATATGGCTTTTCTAGTAATAATACAATGTAAATTGCGCGATGAATCTATACAATGTGTAGTAGAACACATGGAATGTATGTAAAATCAAGTAAGATTATACCTTTGAAAGTATGGAAATAAACAAACGTCCTCCATTTTCAAATACTCAAACTGAAATTTCACATGCTGGCATTTCACTATCTTCAACTTGAATCTCACTGAAGCTGCATGTAACTTAACTAGTAATATTCAGAATATAAAATGACTGCATAATATTGAAAGATCTGATGCCTAATCCTATAAACTTGATAGAAAGTGAAGTTATAAAATCCTAGCTCAAAAATTCATAAAGTTCAAAACTAGGTCACTTGACTTGAACTACTCATCCTGATCTAAATGAACACTCTTTGGTTCCAAATTTCATCAGTGCTTCCAAATTTATTTCCTCTCAAGTCACGCTTGAGTTCTGCATATAAGTAAAAGTCATTGGGTGCACGGTCTGGGGAATATGGAGGGTGTGCAAGTAGGGGTAGCCCCAGTGCCCTAAAAATTTCACTAGTTAGCATAGCTGTGTGTGAACTCGGATCACATGTCTTGGCAAGACTTCGGGAAATGGGCAAGAATGGGTTTGAAAGTGTGTTTAGAGAGTGGGTGAATATGCATAAGAAGTGTATAGCTAGAGATAGACATTATGTTGAATAGCTTATTTTCATAACAATGGGACTTTAGGACTGTTTTTATATTGTATTTGTGGTAGTTATAGACCCGTGAGTATTGTAACGGTCTGCTTAACGAAATTATTAATACATAAAGCTTTCGCAGTTGCGGTTGATATTTTAAAGTCTATTTCACTGAAACACAAAAACGGAGCAACACTTTACATATGAATCCTGTGTGATAGACTAAATGGAAATAAACCAGTTTTGTTACTTCGAAGAAGCAAACCACGACGGAAAACGCAATTCGAACGCGAGTTGGAAATATCTATCTATAATCTGATTGGTTGATTTTGTATCAACTCACTATTGAATCGAATGTTAGATCGCCAGCGTTGTAGGGCGTCAGACGATATCAGGAGGCACGACTACAAGGTAGGGCTATGCACATTTTCTAGGTGAACAACATTTCTGTTTCTGGATTGGGCGTTACTTCGGCTTACAGACTTCACCAACAGCAATATGCAGCAGTGAGCAACCCAAGATAAGGATTCGTAAGCTGTGAATCTACAGCAGTCCATTGGGGTGCCGTAACGGCTGGAATTCGCTGAAGGAATAGCGTCACCACAGGAGTTGAGACCACACAGTCAGCCAAGCCCATCAAGAGCAGCCAGTCTCCAAAAGTCGAGAACCTACACTCTATGCAAGTCCCCCATCATCGTGATCAAGTCCACGACGACTTCAAGGGCCAGTCCCACAACCGGTTGCCTCTTATCGTCTCGCATAGCTTTTATTATCTTTTATAGACATTTTTAATAGACATCTCTGTATTTCTAGTTCTATAGACATTTTAAATAGACATTTTTATATTGCCGTAATACTATAACTAGTTCAAATATCATAATCAGTGCAATTACAAGTTCGTGTTTTATTTGTGTTCTATGTTCTGTTTTATATTAAATTAAATAAACAATTGTACATATTTATATATTTTACATCACTTGTCGTGTTGCATATGTGTTGCATGTTATATTTGCTATATTAGGCCCTGTTTAAAAGTCCCTTTCCCTTCCCCGTTTCGTCCGGTTACATTTGGTGGCAGCGGAATAAAGCTATCAGAAAGAATAAATATGTTTTGGAAAGTTGTGACGTAAAAAAGTTGCCCCGTCTTTTCGTTGTTTCTGTTGTTCTAGCAACCACAACTCTGGCCAATCAAATAGAAGACGCTTTAAATTCACGGAATAAATGTAAAAAGGTTTATTTATTTTGTCCTCATTTTCAGACACTTTGTCTGCCATTTTGTCCAACTTTGCAGTAACATGATATTAGTACATGTATTTCACATGTGTTTTCACATAAATTCTGTATAAAACATGCTTTTATGCACCTTTCTAAGGGATAGATGTCAGTATGTGTTTCCACTAAATAACGTAGTGCAATGCATTTTAGGGATAGAGGGATTCATAAGACTATACACTCTCTTGAGAATTTCCACGTATACAGGGTGGGCCATAAAAACAATACCCAAGTTTAAAGATAAGTATCATACCATGTATGTTGTATCATTTCAAAGATGAATCATTTTCTTACAATATGACACCATTCGATTGAAAAATCATTGTTTTCTTGTGGAGTTAAGAGGCTAAAATTGACCCCAGGGGTGTCATGAGCTACCAAAAAATTATGTGGAAAATGGATGGAAATTGTTGAGGCTCAATAAACTCTTGAAACTTAAGTTTTCCAAATGAGGATTTTGTATCTATCCCCATAGTGACATATATGATGGTAGGTTAAAATTGAAGTCAATACAAACGTTTTGATTTTAGCGTTTGCAAATGAAATAAAAGTATGTGACCATATATGATGATATCGTGATGCCAAGTCATGAACCAATTAAGTACATGTATACCCCCATGTTAAGTCAATGCAGCCTTGCTGAAATCCTCCTTTTCTAAGAACTCAAGTTGATCGAGTCTCAACAAGTAAATTCATATCGGCTAGTATTGCTAGAATCCATTTTCAATAAAGAATAGGGGTTCTTAAACATTTAATCGAGCTTGCTTTTTTGACTTTTTGTTGGCTCCATTCTATACAGGTAGGCGACAATGATAAAAATGTAACAAAGTGAGACATCAAAAATTGGCACTAAACATAAAAACTGGCGGCAGAAATAATATGTCATCACTCCTTGATGGAGACATAATAGAAAATCTAAACCTAAAATATCTTAAGACAGATAAGAATCATTTATTTTGTAATTTCAATGATAACCTTTCAAACACCCACTTTTAATATAATTGAATAAGGTAATTTATCATATACACATATGATAAACATATGATATGATTCTTTATTTCCTCCAATTTTGAGAGCAAATTAGTACAAAAACACACAAAAAATTTTTTAGTTAAAGATTTATTAGCACAGCATATGAATATTTACATGTTCGTGCCCATTGCGTCCTGGTGCCGGTGGCATGGTCCAAAGTTGGTAAAATGTACATACATTATATGTAAGAGTACATAAAGCCCATGATATTTTAATAACATCCATACATAAAAATAATGAGTCAAACATTTAGTTTTTTTATGAATTTTATATGGAATTAATTAAATGTTTGCTTAAACACATTTCAAGTTTTGTTATTGTAATGTTGCATTTCATATACAAGAATTACAAGAATACATGATTTACATTTTAGTGTTCATATATATATATTCTCAGTAATATACAAGAATATATTATTATCTGTAATATATTTGCAATTGTGCCCTTTATTGTAAATAGATCAATATTCTATTGTGAATACAGAGACAAATATGCCTTTGTGTTGTACATCTACTACAATATATTTTTATATAAATATGTACAAAAAAAATTTACCAATTTTTCCGATTGATAAAATATATTAAATAAAAACAGTAGATGCCAAATGGGGTACATTTTAAAAAATAATGTTTGTTCACTCATCTATTGGTCCCAAACAACTAAAATCATTCATTGTTGCTGATTTGCAAAACATTTGTGCATATTACAATTTGATTTCAGCCTAAAATAGGCACATGGTACAAGTAATTATTCTTATTCTATTTTAGGCCTACTTTATCAAAATTAGCCTGAGATAAAGAAAAGATACAATATTATATTCTCTTCATTTTCAAATGTATATACCGTGGTAAGTGTACATGTACATATATGATAAACATACACTCATCTTCCTGAATTTATTTTAGGCCTTCTTTATAATTAGCTTTAGCCTTATACAGAGTGACCCAAAAACAGAAATAAATCTTTGGTTCTGTTTTTAGGGTCACCCTGTACA